TGTAATAACATACCCAAGAACGACCTCTTTGCGTGTCCAGTAATAATATCAGCTCGTTGCTATACCTGTTAATTAAATCCATACCCTTTCACATTTGTTAATTTATATACCCTTGTTCCTCCACTGTACACTATACCATGTAATAAAATTCACACTATACCTATTGTACTTGCTTATATAGGATTGTGACTCCCCATGCTGGACCACGTGTCCTTAACAACATCTTCCCTTTATGGTTACTTTATATCAGTACATACTATACCATAGTGACCTAACCTCACTTTATTTCCAAATACTATACCCAAGGCTGTACCACTGTACGCTGTACTATACTAGTCTAAGGTTCCCTTATGCTAATACAAACTAGCTTATAGCTTGTTCGTAATGTCCCCTGATAGCCCACACGCATAAACCTTAGTGTATACATATCTATTTATGCATACTAAAATTCTCTGCTCCTGTACTGCAGGCAATAACACAGTTCCTCAATGATAAAACAGGGTAAACTAACGTTATCAGACACTTCGAATGCATATAGACGTTGGGAAAATTGTAATATGTTACTGTAACATCGGGCAGGTATCAGACGTAAATACTGAAGTGGTGTGCAGTTGTTTTCAAGTGAAAATCGTCCTGGTCGATTCTCCATTAAGTCATTAAGAGTTGGTTTCTTCGTGCACGCCATGTATCTTCAGTTCGATTTAAACGATAGATCTTCGGATGAAATCGGTAGCAATAGTAATCTTTGCTGAGACAGTAAAATTCATCGAGCCAAATTCAGGCGTGACGTCAGTGGCTAAAAATAAAATGCAACTATCGAATTGCTTACGTAGTCAGAGAGTGAAGTGGCTGCGTTTAAACTGCATTGAGGTTATGTACACACACGGGTATATGGCAGGTAGGGAGGAATCGAGTCTAAAGAAGAGAGAAAAACAATAGTGAGATAAAGTATAGGAATATAGAAATAGTGTAAGGAGATAATAAAAAATAATCCTGGAAATAAATCCCGATGATATAAACAATGAAATTACATAGAACAAAGGAAGAGCTTACTCGATCCAACGATTGATAGAGCAGAGCCCCCAACTTCCGTTTTACGAGGTTTGTAGTGCTATCTTGAAATCGTTGGGCGGCGCTGACAGCAGCAATCCCACGACCCGTCATAAAGAAGCGGGCATTGCTGCTTAAAATCTGGCAACAGGGTTAGAACCTTTTTAAAAAAAAGGACCGTCGACCGCGTGTGGTTCTGGCTCCCTTGGAAACATCTGCCGTCGGGCCGTAGTTTGAAGCACGGCTGGGGACGTGAATATAGACACTTTTACGTAGGACGGGCCTTTACGGTTTATCGCACGGAACACAGTGGTACTAGACATTTGCTATGGATGTCACAGTTAAAATGACTGTTTATTGAGAATATGGCTTATTTTTTTTTTTTCAAAGGTAATATATACGTTTTACTAGCTATTTTCGTCGTATTACTTAAAAATGACCGATTAGTGCTCTCCACTCGTCTACTTCGTTCTTATTGTTCTTCGACAGTCGTAGATTTTAGGTTATAAACTCGGCCGAGCCCATTTACCTTGTAACCAGCGGCTGCTCTTTGTCCACTGTCTATAAAGCCGGAGTTAACTCTCTTGTCATTACGAAATGGGTATATGCCAGGAGAACAAGGATGGGCTTGGCTTCGAAACCTGGGCTTGTAAAATTGCCCGAGTAAAATGTGAATTTCTCACGGGTGTGTTTACCGGTTATTTACTTCTTGGATAGAGTATGCTGTTTTACGGATCGTCTCTTGGAATATCGATAATACGCAGCCCTGGCTCTGTCTGAATCCTGAGAAAGGATTCCTCGGATATTATTTCGTTTTGTAGCAATTAGGCAATTCTCACGGCGGTATGATTCTGAAAAATTATCATTAAATTGGACTGAAAATGTGGGGTCTGGACATAATTATACCACGTTAAAAACAAAAAATTCCACTGAGAACCAAGATAATTGGAAAGTCAAAAGTCTTAGCTGTTACTTTTGTGAGGCTAAAAATACCTTTTTTTTTTTACGATTTGACAAAAATGTTCTTTCCAAAAATTTAAACCACACTTATTCCCTTCCTCCGTAATCCCAAGTCAAATATTTACTGTAATGAGATACCGATGACTGGTATACCTGTCTTACGAACAGAAATTCTAGACCCTTTTAAGCATGGTTAACCAAGTATCAAAGGGTTTCCATGATCCTGTGAAAGCATTGAAATCGATACCTGTCCCTAACAGATACAAAATAACATGAATACCATGATTTACAAAAGTCCGAGATAAACGATCTCTACCAGATTCCAATAAATTTTCCAATACAAATAACATTTACCTGATCCCTTATGCATAACCTCCGCAAAGGCTGATAAAAGAGCCGTCGGTAAAACAGATCCGACGAACGATTCTAATACCGACAGAGTAGCTAAGTTTGATAAGCTTCAAAAAGCGACGAGCGTCATCGACTAAAATTCCTATATTGAAACTAGAGCATGGGTGTCATTAAACCACAATCTTTTTGGCGTCGTCTCACGCGTCTCGACGACAAGCGTCGTTCTCCCCCAATGTCGTTGTCGCTTTGTTATTAGCCGCTAGTCGCCGATGCCAACAAACAGCGTCGAGCAGCTTTCACCTAAATCCTTATGCACAGTTCATACGTCCGTGCGTGCTTTCGAAGTTTTCAAAAGAATCAACGGCAACACGGCTGGCTGCTCCTGTTTAAAAGTGTCCAATGTCGAAACGGATACTCGCCTTTCGTGTCTCTCTGTAGACACACGATACCGGGGTTTCTGCTTCCGCTTCACGAAGGCAGCACCGTGCAGCACTTGAAAGGCCCTGTACGACTCGTTACTTTCGGGAAACTGTCAAAGAGAAATCGAGTACGTGTATACATCGAGACAGATGCTTACGTAGCCTCGAAACTAGTTACTAAGGAAGATACGGACGTAACGTACGATTGGGAATGATCTTATTGGTAATGATCCCAACGATAAGCCGATCGGACGTTGTCAAGAAGTGGAACAAAGGGAAGGGGAAATTTTATTTTTAAAAATTATACAGCCTTTCACTAAGCCGGACTCCCGGGGCACGAGGGGTCCGCGTATCCCCTTTCTCGAGTCCCGTGGGTATTATATTATCGATTGGCCATTGCGCAAATGGCGGCTATGCAACGATGCACAGGAACCCCTATATTCAGAATTGACCCTAAGCCTTCGTTATGAGGGTTCGCCATGGCGCATACGAGAGTTAGTGGATTTCGTACGTGCACCCCAGAGGGAGGTGAATGCGTAGCCAACCCCTATGGCGATTGTGGATGCGTGACTCAAAAAAAAAAAATAACTAGGGGGTCCATGCAGGGTTAATAATTATCGTGGGGTATGAGGCATAATTTCTTTGAAATCATTAAAAATAACTTTTTCGTAAACCGGACGCGGCTGAAGGTTTTGATTTTGCAGTTCGTTAGGTGAGTGCGAGAATCGACGAATTTCTAGGAAAATAATTCGTTCGTTTATGAATTTCGTTAAATACGTCATTATGGACCATAATCAAAGTCAATAATATCTCCCACGATTATTCGGCGAACGACGCGTGGGTAAAATTTTTTGTCCTTTGGATCTTGTTCTTCTACGAAAAATTCGTTCCGAACGACTCGACGAATCGTTCAATTTCAAATATCCTAGCAAACAGAAGCAATCCGTGAAACAAAACAATAAACAAGACAAAAACAAAAAAATACGGTCGTCGTATTTCAGCCTGACAAAGCCAAACTTCCATCAACGTACGACAGATGGCGCTGGCAAGCTGACCCTCGTTAAATACCGTCGCCGGCATTAAAAACCGGCATTTACAGATAAATTCTTTCGTAAAGGAAATGACGTTCGATGATTTTTATACACAGTAGATACGTGCTGACGCGAAAACAAAACCGTATCAACTATAACACAACTTGACATAACCTCCAAGGAATTATTGAAAAACATACTTGACATTAATTCCAAACAAAATATATAACTAACCTCCAAACTTAAGATTGATCCATTACGTACGATAGGTCAACTCCCCGAGATACATACATAATATCCAGCAATATTAATCAGTAAAAAAACATATGCAGAGCTCAAGAGTCATACGAGAGAGCCGTGACGAGCAGCCATCTTAATAATCGCAATATATTATAGGCCGTTTTCTCGGAAGATTTTCAAATTCGTGCAAGTCAATGTGGAAGCCGCCATAGACTGGCTCGTTTTTAACCTCTCAACACGGTCTCCGCTTGGTCTCGACTTTTTCACTTCTTCTTCATGCTTTTTACGTCTTCTTGCTAAGCACTAGTAAGTAGTGCCTAGTCAGTCTCCCACGGCAACTCGTCTCTCAAGAGGGGGCTTCAAAACAGGTTTGATCTGGTCGACGAGTCTTCGTCATGGTGGCTGCTGCTCACGTTGCTCTTCCTCTTGTTGTTATACCAACTCTGCCCGCTCCCATACGAGTGGGTGCGAGGGACAAGCTAGCAGCAGCAGCAGCAGCAGCAGACACAGTCAGCTTCTTAGATTAAGTTACCCCGGGTGTTTGCATCTTGTGCCAGTTCTCTGTTAATGGCCGCCATGGCACACAGACCACGCGACGGTGATAAGTAATAAATACATTACGTAAAAAAAAAAAATTCAAAAACTAAACAGTAAATTACCATGACAACTTACCGGGTTAGAAAACGAAGAAAAATTAACGTGACAAGATGGCCGCTCGTATAACACCCAACGGATAATTAGGTACAAGCTGAAGTTGGTTCTGTCATAGAAGTCAAAATGTATGGGCTAACTTCATGCGGTACGTCTAGTCTGAACCATTTCCTGTATACACCATAAACGGTCAACGCCTCGCCGTAATAAATTTCGCCGAAGCTGAATCACTTCCTGTTAAGAATTACTATAAACGCAGAAAAAGGAGAAAAAAACTATTCCACGTAGTGAGTAAGAATTTAAAAAAAAAAATTTCATTACCTTAACCTTAACATTTTTATCCTAGAACATTATAGGAACACTGCGCGCACCTCGGACATTCGTATATAACTCGGCATTTCATATACGAATCTCGGTTATGTATTCGGTCATGATGAATGTTATATATATTATAGTAAATTTATATAAGCGGCACATAATTTTATGTAGGTCTCCATTATAACTTTATACATCTCGATAAAGCCGGCAAGGGGTGAAGGCAGCTGCAAGTCAATGAAGAGGACTGGACAAAGGTTGCCTAGTTCAGGCAGTAAGCGTAGCGAGGATACAAGCCTCGACGGCCTACTAGACAGCCAGTTAGACGAGGAATCAGGTAGGCAACCAAAGGGACCCTATGCAGTCTAAACTATACTCTAAGCCGTACCCTACGTATATATATATACAGGATCGATAAGTGAGTAAGAGAAGGGGCGTGCAGGACTAGTCTAGTAGTTAGTAGACCAGGCGGCCCCCGAGAGTGGGTAGGGAGAGGGAAAAATGTAAAGGGGGGGCGGGGAGTTGAAAGAAGCGCACCAGAGACCACGGGGAAAAGAATACAAACAAAACAGAAGCGTGCAGAGAGACAGCTGTTCTTGCTGTTGGTATCCCTGCTCTAGCACAGAGAACCAGATATCGGCTCTTGATATACATTATAATCAGGCAGATGTAAAATGCAAGAAGCTCTAAAGGAACTCCGGAGCGATCATTTTTAAAATTATTCTCAGTATTCACGTAGACGATTCTTATCTCCGTAGATAAACATTTACAGTCCATTGTTTTTATGGCAATACCGCATATATATATATGAAACTCGCTCGTTTCCCGTATCTCGGAAAAATAAAACGATATACAGGATCCTTAGGTGTTCGAGTGAAAAAAAAAAAATAATATTTTTTTTTCCATCCATTTCTCGTAACTCGAACGGACGTCGCTTTCGACGGTCTTTATATTTTTAAACATTTTTTTCTCGTATCCACGTATATGCCGTGTAGCACCCCAAAGCGGAATTCATGGTGATTATTGTAACAGAGGAAATCCGCTGTTCCAGTCGAGAGAGTGGACTTGAACCGTAAAGGTTTTTATCAGAAAAATATATCTGTTGTATTCACGTGACGTAGAAGTCGAAATGAGAAGGCAGAATTTCAGGGATCTTTTGAATCTAAAATAAATGAAATTCCATATTATACCTATATACTCTATTCGTGCTTAGTGTGATACAAGAATTGTACCTGATACGTAAATAGCCCTTATACAAGTTACAACTGTCAAACTGATGTACCCCATGATGTCGATGTACCCCAATGAGTGTCGTAAAAAAAAAATATGAAAAAATGATTCAATATTGTAATAAACAATATGAATTAATTACGTCAAAATTATTTTTATAATACATCAATACGTATATATAAATAAAATTAATTTTATCAGTCAGCCGAGAGTCACCGGAAAATAATTTTTCTGTTTCTTTTTAGTATGCACCTCCCAGCGCTACCAGCCAGCTGCGCGGTTATGGCAACAGAGCAAATCGTTAGGAATGTCATTTACTCCCGTTCTATTATTAGCATTTGGATTCTCGTAATAACGAACGGTCACTTTTAATTGTCAGACCCCTATAACGTTGAATATGCAGTTTCCTATTCAAAATTGAATATATCGTATCAGTCAGTAGCCCCACGAGGTTATCTATCTGTTTCATCAGGCCGACTGTTCGCAGTCCCAGTTATCATTTGAATGACACGCGAGTGACTTTTGTCGCTATTGTTTCGCGACGTATTCTCACGACAGGCCGCAGCCACAAGTAGCGACGCAATGATTTTCAAGGAACGCGGAGATACTTGCTGTAGTATCGGATATAATGAAATGACAGGCGAGTCATTGAGTGGCAGTTGTCATTATATGACAGTACGAGGTTCGATGAATGACGACACAGTGTACCGATTGACAATGACAACGTGTCGTCCGATATTACGTAAGAGATAGTAATTAATTGAAATAATTAATTTCGATCTGGATCGTTTGACAGAAAAAAAATAATTTTAAACTCGATTCGCTTGATCAATTGGATGAGTTTCCACGTGAACGACGTATCTGGGTCGACGATTTTCACAGATATTTATTTTCCTATCGCATCCATCAAGCCGATTAGATCGTCCGATCCTCGAGCAAACGAGTCGTCGATGACGACTTGACCGAAAAATAGGATCGGCCGATGGCCGTGGATATAGATAGACCAGAGACGTACTGGATCGGATCGATCGATCATCCTAGGCAGCGGGTCACGACACTGTGAATAATAAAGGAGGCAAAGCGGAAAAGAAGGAAAGAAAAAAAAAAGTGGGTAAAAGGAACAAGAGGGTTATAAACTTTCTACGCGGATTCGTTACAGTGCGTCGATTATCGCGATCGATTTATCGATAGCGCGGAACCGGGCGATAAGAACGCGCCATAAATGTGCCTCGCGCGAGATTGTGAGACTTTTATTTATATATATATATATACGCAAGTACTTTCCTGTTTGATGGCTGTTCGTGCCAATCCTTCGCAGAAAATCCAAATGCTCTTTGTTCTTGATTAAAAATGTAATTTCTAAAATCTATAAAAAAAAAAAAACTAATAAACATTTGACTTCGAGTAAACAAATCCACGTACGTCCATCTTGAGCAACTCAGGTCGCACGCACAGAGCGATGGGTTCGTCTGCCGAGCCAAAGCGCTAGAAACCCGGCGGTCGTCCTTTGTCACTAAAGTCCGCGTGTATTTTCCCGTGCGTACATCACGCGTCCGCGCACGTGTATTATTAGACGTGTATTTTGGGGTAAACTTGCGTAGTCAGTGTCGCGACGGGGAAGGCTGAATTCGAGTGTAAAGCCGCGACGTGTTCAAGTATTCGTCGCACAGACCTCCGCTGGCATATACGAACCTAACCTAAGCGCCCTTGACGTCGTCCCAGACGAAACGTTGTTAAGACTCCCGTCAGTGCCATCTGCACGCGTCGAAATAGTTTCACTATATGAATAACGTGCAAGACCCGAACGTCTACATTCACGCCGACCGTAACTTACAGAGCACGCACTCCGTGTTGTCTCTGTATAAATAATTTACCTAGCTAAAAAAAAAGTGACCTTCCATAACCAAGGTGGATTGGCAGTGGAAAAAAAGTACTAGGAATAATCAATTACCTGAACAATGACGTACACAGTTGAGGTTAGTATTGTGGGATAGAATTAGGGACGGGTGGCTGGGATATATGTGGGTTGGTACCCCTTTGTCCTTTCGACAGCATTGATGCGTCCTACAATACTAGCGCGGTATTAACGTCGGAGCAGGGTTTCGTTTTCGAGACGTGAAACTAGCCAGTTGTAGAATATACAGGTAACGCAGCTGATAAAGAAAAAGAAAAAGTTTAAGCACCATAATTCGGCAATATATACGACGAATTTCACTGGGCGTTGACGATTTATCGAATAACAGTAATTCGTCAGAACGACCGGTGTTGTTTATTAAAAAAAAAATATTTTGATCGACGTGGAAAATAATCGAAGAAGTAAAAATACCCGTGCGTTCAAAAATTTCGGAGAAACCGTCCGCGACGTTCTAATTGATACATGGAAAAGCTAAATACCGATTTCGCAATTACGTCAAAATATAGCCTAACCTCAAAAACTGTAAAAGCTACTAAATCGCCTTAGGAACTATCTGACTTAACAAGGACACGCGGTGTCAACTGCTATAGACCCGCATGGATACAATTATAACGTACCACCCGCTGATGTGCACATTTATTACTATGAGAGATACGTGATAATTCAATATTTGACGCAAGAACGCCATTGCCACCGAAGAATTGGTCGGATCAAAGGTCATCGTATTTCGAAAGTATTTTTATCTATTTTAAAGAGCAACAAGAAAAGCTAATAATTATGAAGAGCCGTGCGAGGGTTATCGCTATGAATTAAACGACCCAAGACTTCTAGTTACACAATAATACACCGAGGATTAAAGGAAGCGGCAAATTCAACTTCCTATTCGAAAGCGTCGTCGAGTGATACGAATAATCCACATGGAAGCTGCGTGGGTCAAAGTTTGAAAAGAAGAATAAAGCGCACATGTGTATCACCGTAAATCATACGTACGTATGGAGCTGTATGCAAGAAGCGCCCAAAGCAAGGCGACACGATAATACATAACCTCGTGCGGGAGTGTTGTGTGAATTCGGCGTGGGAAGGTTAGAAATGTTGGTGAGGCTGGCAGGGAGTGAAGTGTGGTAGGGTAAAGAGAGATAAATAGAGATAGCGCTAGAAGGATTGAGAGAGAAAAATAAATGAGAAAGGTAGTAACAGAGCGAGCGAGTGCGAGAGAGACAAGCATACAGCCAAGTGAAGGGTCCCCGGTAAGCCGTTCCGGTTGACTCGGGGTAGGAAGGAGGTAGACTGGAGGGATCAGACAGAGCAGGCGCTGTTGCCAAGCGGAAACCACGGACGTCGCATTTTGTTCGTCGGCCGTTCTCGCTCTCCGTGACTGGTTTGAACGCGGAACGGTGCAGCTTTCGGAAATTTTAGCCGGAAACAGATGCGTTGCCATCGAAGCCAATCGAAATTAACGCGTACAGCCTCGTGGGTGTCGATGTTGTGTACTGTCGGGTAGCCACATTTTTTTTTGTAAATATATACACACGTGTTCTCTTTTCTGATAACAATATTATCATATACGTGTATATATATACAGTGACGTTCACGTACCCGATGGTTTTATTACGAAGTCTTATTACACAGGAGAAAAATAAAAACCAAACGACGCGCCAGCCACGACCCAATGCATGGCCGCTCGAAAATAGACGCCAAGATGGCGCTGCGAGTCGTAAGGTAATTTAGCGACGAGTCGTGGGACTTGTGCCAGGGTTCATTGGCATGATTATGAAAACAATGCAGAATGGCCTAGGGTTACGTGACCTGCAGAGTCGAAGACTCGAGAGGATGACGTTCGTATTATCTCTACAATTTTTTAAAAGCATTTCAACATGACAAGAAGAGATGGACAACGCGCGTCTCTACGTTAACGCAGACAATGAATTAGGAATGAAGAAGCGTCTCGAGGTTCTACCGAAAAACTGGATTTTTTTTCTTCCTCTTCTTACCTTCCTTCCAGACACGCGTCATGCAAAATACACACCCGGCTGACTCTAGCGAAGGGACAATGGATGAGAGGGGTCTGCCATTTTCTCTTTTTCACGCGCTTTGGCTTTCAGGAAAGGTAAAAGCGTCCACGCTTAATTGCAATCGTTTAATTGAACTCCCAGGAACGCTTTTCCAGTTTTAAGGTTAGTGTATTACCGCGACAAAAATGGCTTCCTGTATTTTATGCCATTTGCTTCTTTCTTTTTTACGCAGCAGCAAATCATTTCGAACAGCTGAATAGAATTCACGGCGGATATCGATGGACGATAAAAAGACGGATTTTCTACAGGCAGGTTTCGAACTTCTCATGAATCTTTTATTTCGAGGACTGCAAGCGTGAACGAACAAAGCAGTATCTATGAATTTTCACGATTCATCCATTGATTCATAGGAGGAACGTTGCGATTACGCGCGAGATCGGTAATAAAAACAACGAATTTATTGTCTTTCATTGAAAATCAGCCCTGATATATCTTTTTATAGATTCGAACAAGCCCTTGACTATACTTGTAAACCGGCGTCAGTTAGGTTAGTTTCGAGGCCCCTGATTAATGCATGCTTCGATGGGCCCTTCTGCGAACAAAGCAACGACGGAAACATCTGCCGCCATCTGTTCGACGTGTGGCAGAGAATTTGCGAGAGGAAACGTGACCGAAGTGAAAACGAATAATAATAAACGAACTTATAATGACGATCGCGTAAGGTCGACGGCAATAATCTACAAAGCTTTCCCGAACCCGAGCGCTGTCACGTTGCCGTGGACTATTCCGATGAAATCATCGTCTTTCGTACAAGATGAAAAGTCGCGGCAGCAGAAGAAGCTGGTTCCGGTCATGCCTGCCAACCTTCCGAGAAATCGTTTCAACGCAACAGTCCCGGTAGCTGCCCTCGGCGAAACAAGAAACATGAAAGTCTTGTACGGGTCCCGGTTACGTTTACGAAGCTCCACTTTACACTGGACAGGAAGTTTATTCGATAAACTGATGCCCGACGGGGTCGCCATGATGTTTCTTTACGATCGACCACGAGAGTTTCGTAATTTTGTCGAGATACTTTTTCTTTATGACATTTCTTCTTCTTTTTTTTTCACTGTTATATACTCTAAACACGAATTAGTTTATGGAATAAGTTTTCAACGTATACAAGTAAAAGTACAGTCACGAACATAAATACGTAATAACGTTATTGATAAATTAGAAAAAAAAAAGATGCCGATAAAATTGATCTAGAATTGTCAATTTTGAAAGGTGAAATCCCCGAGGGATCGACTTTCAAAATAGAAACTAACAACATCGATAAATTCACTGAATCAACAACTGATTGGGGAACGTGTGTTCTAATCAGAAATCGATGATCGATCGATCATATTTGCTTGGTGATATTTGCGGATAACGCGGAAGATCGATAAAAGATAAATCGTTACTATCGAAAAGTGCACTTATGCCATTAGAAATAAAAATTTCGTAACGCTAACTATATCGTAAGGACCCACGTAAGAGCGTGTCCTTAAAATAAGAAATAGCTTGAAGAAAGCTTCTATAAATATGATTTTTAAAGTCCACCAAAATGGTGGCGCTTCGAATGTTAAACGTGTTTGGCAATGATGTAGCCTCGCGCACGGTTTGGCAACGTTGCCACGTCTGAACGACCACCCGGGCATCTTGTTTTCCTGCCAGCCGCGATTCCCGACCCTCTTAAACGAGCATAGCGCGATATCGGCATATCTCTTTAAAGCCGGCGCTTCCTACACTTTCAGATCAGCTTGGGCTATTGCACAGAGAGCTACGGTGTTATATACAATCTGATAAGGATTTAAGCCTCGCGACAAACAGTGTTACAAGATACGAGAATAGTGCGTGTAACTTAAAAAGACACTAATACTATTTAAAAAAAATTGTTTATCCAATATATTTATGAATATAAATAATTACACGTTGAAAAAAAGATAAGAATATGCCAAGTCAAAAGATTTCAATAAATAGCTCTTTCCTCTATATTAACTTATTTCGAAAAATTAATCAATGACTCACTGACACGTCAATGATCCTTTTAATTCCTTTCCTGATCACACAGAGTTCATATTTGTCGCACGAGTTATCGCACAAGTGACTCTATGCCAGGTTCTACATAGCTAGTAAATTAATTATACTTAATTAAGAAAAAAGCCTCTACAACGTTCTAGAGCCCGTGAAGATTTCAATATAAAATTATGAAAGAACCAGGCGAGCGTGTTCTTGAAAAATACCAGTCCCTGGCCTTAGGTAGATTGCAGAGATCAAAGAAGACCAAGTGACCCTAACAACGTGGCCGGGGCATCGTGGAAGCACCCACACAGAAGGGTCCCGTCTCACATCCGTGGCTCAAAGGGCCCCAGCAGAATCGAAGGAAAGACAGAGGCACGCGAGTCCGTTCCGAAAATGCGTCTAGCGCACCGGCGAAGTAGAATCTCGTTGTGACGAATGGGCCCTTAGAAGGTGTTCTTCCCGATGGTGCGTGTAGAGGATTTTAGTAAGAGGATGAAAAGCCGAAGTAAGGACGACGGTGGCCCAAGGATGGTTACCAACAAACATTAAGGAACCCTCGTGGCTCTCCGAGCAGATGAATTCTTACAGGCGATCAGGTGCAGGCCAGGTAGAGAAAACCTGCCAGAGTGCCTACCTTGCTTGCCCGTCTCCCTTTGTCAGCGAGGACAGGTGGCAGAGGAGAGACCTCCGCCTTGGAGGATTCGAGAGCTCGGAGAAAGAGGAATGAAAAAATTTGAACGTGACTCAAAGACCCGTGGTGCAGTCGGTGAAGTCTGACGGCGTCGAGGAACGTTTTCTCTGGTCTCTCGAGCAGAAGTCTGAAGGATGAGGTGGAATCAGCCGAAGGTATTACACGGTGTAGAATGGGATGGAACGAGATGGATGTAAGAGGATGTCGGATGGCGAGGTCCAACGTTGCCGCTGTTGCCCTGAAGTTGGTAAACCGTGAGTCAACACGAGAAAGGAATAATTTCAGGATATATTGTTTTTTAATGTGAATTTTCAATACCTCTGTCTCTTAAGTTTCCATCCAATTGAATGTTATCCTGAATGCAACAATATGTCTGCGGCAGACAGTTCCTCTGAGAAAATGGCGGCGAGACCAAGAAAGATAAAACGGATGCTTGAGCTAGACTGCTGAAAAGGGTTTGAGAGACAATGGATTGGATACTGTTATTATAAATTCCTTTGACGTTGATCAAAATGATAAACCGGTAAATTGACTCGTCGATATCTTAACTTTTATATTTTTTAAATTAACGGAACATCTTGCGCAATGCCACACACGAGAGCAGTGGCCTATGCCAGACACTTCGTGCTTCTATCTAGAACAATAAAACTGTCAGGCCGTAATCTGTCAGTTGGTTAATGAAATTTTGACAAAATCTTTCAACGACCGATCGTTAGATTCTATTAATTTTTAGTCTGGTACTGTAATATACGTACCCGATTTCGCAAGACGAATTATATATATATAGAATCCAATGCGTCAGCTCTGTTGATTAGTTGCTGACTAGGTTCGATGCTCATGAATATATTTTTTCTTTGTTCATGCAGGAGCGACGGTTTCGCAAAGGGTACGTTGTAAGCAATACTGTGTGTACATATATGTATATATTGCGCCAGGTGCGTGGGCACGTTTAGTCGTCTGTTCCTACCGAAACGTGACGCAAGATACGATCCTCCAGGTGGAAGCAGAACGGTTCGTGAATTAGCCAAGTAAAGGGCGTATGTCAGAAAGAGTATATCTTTCTTTTTAATTTTATCCAAAGAGAAAGCACAACCTCGCATCCGGTCTTGGTAATTTATATGGATAGCTTGATGTAGCCATATTTCGATACTACAGTCATTTCGTCATTTCCTTTGGTTACCGAGCATTGGAAATCTAAATAATCATAAGCGTACGGACCATTGCTCGAGGGTCATGGCTGTCTGCACAAGCACCGTTGTACGTTGAATCATTACGAAGTTCATTCTGACGTGATTGCATAATGCCACTTTTACGTGTCCTTATAATATGTAAAATTGTAAAACGTAAAGCGCTAAAGATATTCAAGGAAACCTGCCACTTACTGCACCGTTACCGAGACTGTCAATTTCGAAACAGTGCCGCCATCTTCGGGCACCATACACGAAACATCTGACGCCATTTAATATGGAAACAGCTACACAAATCGTTAGCGCAAATACATAGGCTAATATAGATAAAACGAAATTCTATTGATTATTCACTGTTCAAAAGTATAATATCAATTAATAGAGGACAGAAGTGAAATTTTCATCGATATAAAATATTCGTTCCATCGATCGATACTTTACTAGCCAGTGAAAATCGTCCGACGTGCAGAGCTGTGTTTCAAATGTAAGCTGTGTTAGTACGGATTAAAGTGACAAGATGGCAGCACATGACGGGTCCCTGTAAGATTCACAAGGGCGCTACGAGCAACCCTACTAATCCAACGATATATTTCAAGGAACACGCGCTGTCACCGTGAACGTAGATTAACCAAAAATTTGTAATACATAATTTCATGATACGAAGTTATGAATCTTATGCATGATTTATTAGAAAGATTTTTTATGACTCACGGTTTGTCCTCTGGTCTCTGCTGTCTCGACACTTTCGATCCACTTGCAAATCTCCTAACCGATGAGACACCACGGGCTGTACCGTATTTTCATCGGAGCACCATCCTCGGTGATTCAATTGCTACACGCTCACTCACTCGGCACCAATGCTTCGCGTATTCACACATTTTACACGATGACACCAATTAATCGCGACCTTTCCCACGTTATCGCGACGTTCACGAGAATGTCAGCTCCGAAACAGCCGCATGGCATGGCGGTCGCGATTAACACTCGCCGCCAGATCATGAGCGGGGCTTTAAATACGTGTCCGTTTAGAAGAGACGCTATTGGCTGGACTCATTGGAATTGGCCAATGGTATTGCAACTTTGGGGAATGCGCGGGAAAGTAAAGAATGTAATCGTCTCGACGGAGCTTCTCGAATTTCCACATATGTATACCTGACTACGTTTACCGAATATCAGATTCAAAAATGTTTAAAGATTTTATAGTTCAGTTTAACAGATTAATAGGAGTCAAAATAATTCTTTTTTTAACCATTAATAATCAATTTAGTGCTATGAGTTATTATTGGGTGTAATTCAATAATATGAAATTAGTTATATCCGGTTATGGTGAAACTGGTGGGATTTCAAATCGATATTGACATACTGATTCATTTTATATTGACTTATTATCTAATTTTCGTATTTTATAAAATACCTTGTCAAAGATTGATGCTCCTATGGACTTTCTACAATGTACTATACTAGAATTCGAATATATTTTTTGTCGTTACATACTGTTTATTGCATCCTGTAATTACACTGCATTGGAACCAAATGATAAGTGGTCGGATCATAATCGATTAGATCAGCCTTTCGTTTAAGAGTAAAGATGAACTCAAATTATATGTCTGACCCGAAAAAGAGAAGTCATTAATCATATATTTCTTATCTTTCTATATAATCTCTAGTGGAACTTTCTGTCGAACTGAATGAGGCTTTAAATAAACTATTAACATAAAAGCTCTGGTCTGACAATGAAAGTAGCGTAAATGAAAGTGGGAGGGGTCGTAAGTTAGTTTTAACGCGTGCTGTCAGGAGGGCAGCACTGTCAGTACGCGTGCGTCGATCCGCGATGAATGATTTGAAAGTTCGAACGCTAAAATTTCCAGAATATCTACTGCGTAAGGGGTCCAAATGAGACGTGATCCGGAGGACGCGAAAGATTTGCTTGGCCTGTCAGCTACCTGGTTGAAAGTGACGGATGTATTATTGAGAGAACCGCTATGATGAATTACTTGAACAGTATAGCGGGTGGTGGTGTAGCTGGTGATGCTGGCTTGCAGCTGAACAATGTCGAAGTTCTTTATACGAAGGTACAGAGAGTTTATGTAAAGCCACAGCATAAGGATGAACGCCAGAGAGAACTCCGGGTCAACGTCGAAATCCACGCAGGACTCAGTCCAGTCTGTCGTAAGGTACTTGGTCGAATGACAGCATCAATTAACCTTAGATTGTTTTTGCGCATTTAATTGAGATTTCAGCGTCCTCTAGTAAATTGATGATTAACAGTTGTTTTAAGAGAATTTGTTTCACTTTTAGAGCCTCTGTGTACTACTGTCAGATGATGATGATCCTTGTTTTCTTTATTCGTTGTACATTACCGATGATGATTTCAAAGTTCTCAAGGCTCAGCAAGGCTTGCTCGTGGACTTTGACAACTTTGCTACGCAGTTGATATGTCTTTTGGAACAATGTTATGTACCGGCATCGAGTATAGGCAAGACTCCACCAAAGTTCTTGCTTTTACTGGCAGAAGAAGGCATGGATTGGACCTTCAGGCTTGTTGAAACAAATAACTTTAAACATCTGTGTCATCTCAGTTTAAATATTGCACCTGCGAGTGACTCTGATATAAAAACTCATATGGCAATGAAGATCAAGCAGCTAAAGGAAAATGTCATGCACAAGGATAGAGACGTAATTGGTATGGAGACAAGACTGAATGACTTAACAAGCAAGCTTGATGCAAAGACCAGGGATTTGGAGCAATTAGAGCAGAAATATCTGTCTGAGAAAAATCAACTGCAAATTAATTCATCGCAGCAAATCAGCATCGAAAAAGATAGGTCAGTTTTTTTTAACAAAGTTATATCAGTAAAAATTATAATGATACTATATTTGTTAGGCTAGCACAAGCAAGACTAGAGTGGCAGCGACAAAGTGAGAAGGAAAAATTGGAAGTGGAACAACGTCATGCAGAAACTCTTAAACAGCTTCATACAGAATTAGCCGAGTTGCGAACACAAAATATTGGTCTCAGGGATAAGCAATCTCTTTTGGAAGCTACAAACAAGGAACAAGCAAAACAGCTGCAGATACTAGAAAAGGAGCTCAGCGTTGCCCAACGTGATTTGTCTATGCTAAAGAAACAAAATTCCAAGCTGGACGTAGATTATCACGATAAAGATAAGGCAGTGAACGGACTCCGAACAAAGGTCGCAGTGCTCGAGCAGGAGTTGAAAGACAAATCTGTGCTTATTAGCAAGCATACAGAGATGATAAAAACAGCTAAGGAACAGAAGCAGCATCTCGAGGAGCTCCTAGCCGACAAGGAAGGTCAGTTACAACGCAAGCAAAACTCCTTGAGGAACTTGAGCGACGAGTTAGTAAAAGCTAACGAGATCTTAACCAAGTTACAAAATGAGTTGGCATCGACTAAGTCAAAGCTGAAGCTGAGAACGAGTATAGCATTGGAACAAGAACGATTACTGGATGCGAAGCAGAAGGAGGTCGGTCAGTTAGAGAATAAAACAAGTGGCTATGCAAAAGAAGCCAGCGAAGCAAAGGCTGAAGTGGAGAGTCTGAAAGAGCAATTGAAGTCATTGCAAAATCAACTGGAGGAGAAAGAGAAGATCATTAAGAACAATGACAACGGTAACATTTAAATTAATGATTTCATCCTGAAACAATTGAACAATCCTATTAATTACTATCTCTCCACTTTATTTATAGTAATCAGCTGGTTAAACAGAAGACTAGCAGAAGGGCAATCTCCGCTACAAAGTGCAACAACAACGGCACCCATAACTCTACCATCATCCGTCCAGTTGACTTTACCCAGAGGAAACAAACTCTTCTCGAGTAGATTCGAGACCAGAACACCAGCACCAAGTACAACTCAACAACCCAGTATTCCAATGACAAACTTACCCCTGCGGAACCCTATAGTACAGAATCCAAACATCAATCAAACAGCACGTACAACGGCTCGCTCAATGGGAGTCGGAGTTACGGACAGTACAGTAGGTTTATCAACCTTTAATAAAGGCGGACAGATCTCATGCACCAGCACCCCAATGGACCGAGTAAACTCCTTGAACAAATTACCTGGCAACGTAGCTGGAGCTTCGTCAATGCCAGCCATCGCAGAGAACAACAATCCCGCCCTAAGCACAAATAGTGCGAAAGCTAAAAGTGCCAGTGGTGTTATGCAAGGTGGACTTCGGAGGGCGGTTTTTGATAAACCTTTACTACCCTCAGCGTACTTCCCCAAGTCATTACACTGATCCGAATTTCGATGATACCTGAGCCAAGCTCGACGCAAGTAAATATTCGAAAACTGAAGGCTCCGGTACTCCAGATAATCAGTAGCAACACACAACAATGGCGTGACGCAACAAGGTAATTAAAGACAATGAATTATTAACATGATGAAATGAGCGTCAGACGCGTTGATGGGTTCGTTGCAAACTACACAGTACAAATAGTTCGACGAACGTTATTAGAAATATTTTTCACGGATCTTAATGATATAGAGAACAAAAATTATTAATGTCTTAAGATCTTGTAATTTTAGCTACGTGGTTTAACCAGACCCTACCTGGCTGAAGAGGCACCTTTAGTACCTACAGTAGATGTTAGTTTAATCCCATGCAAAGGGAATGCGGTCTTAGATTTGACTTTTTCTTTTTTGATAATCAAACCAGAGAAATGTTACGTACTAAATTTATACTTTATAATTAGTTCTTTTGATCCTGGTGACCCTAGACTTTCAGTCCCGCATTATTCTGTATATAGACGCTACAATATATTTATTCAGCCACAGTCAATTCCTAGCATCCTTTTATCAGTGATGCAGGTTCCCTTTTTTTTCAAGGACATTACAATCACTCATGATATTCTTGAAAAATAATTTGAAGTACCTTAACACTTTTTTTCCTCTTCGATAACACAATCTGTTAGAGTCTGATGAGCTTATCGAAACAGTCTCATGCCATAAGAAAAGTCAAAAATCATCATCCGACTAACGATAGAATGCAGGGGGAACAATAAATCGCAGATATCACAGTAAACGTAATGCGTTTACAGTTAGATTCTATGATAATGATTATGGTGTACTGAAATATTACGTGTTTTTTTATATATTATAAAAAGTACCTTCGCGTCAAACCGTTCGCATTAATTATAAACGTAAAACGTACAGACTTTTGACTGAAAATTTGGACCATTTTTAATCCCGATTTATAAACTCACGAGACTGGCAAATAAAAGAACAAGAGAAAATAATAGATCTATAAAATAAGTATGAAAATGAATTTTTATCAAAGCTCTCTAAACGCATTAAGTACTCAATAATAGCTAATATTATATATATAAATTTTAAAGATATATATATATATATCGACCAAGTTTACGAATAATTTTCACCGTGTACTCTGTATATTCCGTGATAATATGTATTTATGTATCTTTATACGCATAATGTCGAGCACCGAGATACAATTCTTTTTTTTTTTTCTTACGCCGGCCATTGAGCAAAACAAAATATTGCATTACACAAATAGAGCAACAGTATTAAACTTAGTAGTTAGTCAATTCGATCACAAAGTACATATACGCGATCTTATCTATTTTACTACTATTTGTACATAAAATTCTAATAAAAAAATTATATTATACAAGCGAGAGATGTTTACTTCGCATAACATTGTTTTATCACCGTTTCGTCTACTCATTTTGAATGAAGCTCAGGAGGATGACGTGCATATAAATATTTTTGTTTCTTACTGTTCGTCCCAATGATCTTTTTATATAATAATACCTATAACTCGTTTCTTTCTCTTCTTTACATTCAAAATTCTTAATTAAAGACATTCTTCTTATTTAATCTTTCTCAGCTACTTACGAAAGCTTAACTTTACAAGGCAATTCTATCTATTCAAATGAGAAGACATATCTTGAAGCTCATTCACAATAGATAATTAGTTTATTTACAAAGTATTACGACCAATAAATGGCGATATTATTAATCTTTAGACTTTTATACAATCCACTCGTCTACAAAGGGTAAGAAGTAACTGGCTATTGGTATTTCCTCACGATTATCTATTGCGGCATTATGAAAATACTAATTATGCAAGCGATTACAATTCCGTAGCTTGTGAAAATGGTGTTAATTGCAGGCAGAGGTTGTATCCTATTCATTCTAAATCTTATACCGCATCGCCTCTATGAATAATGAAAATTTCTAACTAAGGAAAGACACGAATACTGATTAATAATGGTAAGAAAATAAATGGTACTCTTGATAATTCATTTGGTTAGCTCTTAATTAACTTAAGGAATAACAGCGGAGGTTCCTTCCGTTGGTATATCGGTATTTCCCATATCGAGGAGTGGTCTGTCCATACGTTTGCGCCTGCGCTCGCACTTTGGACAAGGTTTACTTGCATTCAGACAATTCATATGAAATACCGCATTGCAAACTCCACACTGCAATCAATTTATTGTATCAGATAATGACGTTCTTTATTTATTTATAAAAAACAATAGGCGACTCACCCTATACGTGGATTCCATGTCAAAGGGGTAGATAACTTTAGGATTATCACAGACCTCGCAGATGAATCCTTTTTGACTGCATAACCAGCAATTCATTACGTGGTTTCTGGCAAATTCAATGACTTTTTGCAATTGCATTGCCAAAGCACCGTTGGGAATGTCTGCCAGGTCTGATACGGCGTATTGATGTACGTGCTCGTAGAGGTAATCCTTGGGAGAGACCTTCTTCTGGAGAGATTCTATTATCGGCTCGCGACAGGTAAACAGATAAGCGCGTAGCAGATTTAATTGAATCCTTAACGATTGCAATTGCGCCATGTTATCTACAGCCATGTATATCCTTGGATTTAAGGTTTTTAAGTCTAGAAGGGTTGTACAGTCAGTGAGGTATCTCGCTGCTTTTTGGCAAACTATGTAACGCTTCAGATCCCAGTTGTGGATCATTCGTGATGGTATCAGGAATTCTTCGGCAGACATACAATTTGTACAGTAATAATCGCCTGAGAATGCGCACACGTGAGCTTTTGAAAAATTCATTCCAATAGGATGACCACAGTCGAGGCAACTATAGTTCTGAACATCCAGTCCTTTTTCATGGGGTATTTTACCTAGTAATTCATCTAAACTCTCCGTCGCCTGCTTTGGAGTTAATAGTGAAAGTGTAATGTAAGAATTTTTTTAATTAAAGAAAAATATCTTATTTTAATTAATACCTTCACAGTTGGTTCTGCTTGTGGCTCCTCTGGAACTGGTATGATGTCTACTTTCTTCTTGGTTGGATATTTATTGAGAAAATCTCGAAGGTCTGGCGTTGTCGCATAACCAGCAGTATGGTAACTTTGAATCAAGGCATCGTAAGTAGGTCCTTCACCAGGAGTACGAGGAGCATCTACTCCTTCAGAACTCCTGGATATAACTGATGATGTTAATGACGAGTCACAATCCTCAAATGAAGTGGACCAGCCAAGTCTGCCAATGAGTGAATTTCCCACTGTAGTTGGTCCATTTTCATTACTCACAGCTTGTGATTGATCTGGTTGAACATTACTGCTTAAATCTTCAGTACTTGTATCAACATCGATACTCGTTTCTGCATCTCTCTTTGTTGTGTTATCACCCGTAGGTTCTGTGGTCGTTTCTTCTCTTTTATGTGTATTCTCTTTAATTTTTCTCTTATTCATTACCACTGGTGAAGACCTGTTTGAATTTCGAACGTCAGTTCCATTTGTCTTTCTCTTCGCTAAAATGTTTTTCAATGGATCATCCTCAGTGAGATTTGTAATACTATTTAGAGCAGATTGTGAGGAATTAAAGGATCCCATGCTCCCAATGGAACTAGCAGTTTCAATCTCTTCTATATTGTCACTATCCGTCAGCTCACTTGTTATTGTCTTAGCAATATCCACGGCACAGGATACTGGACATGATTTCATTGGTGGTGACCAAATTGCAGCCATAAGAAGAGGTGTGCTTGACCAGAAATTTAATAAACTTGTGTTACAAGCAAGTTCAAATTGCACATGATCTAGACTTTCAATAAGTCTCTGTGCCACGTCAACAAGATCTGTGTCTCTGATGAATGCCGAACGATTATAATATGGTTTAAGGGCTGTATTATCTCTTCGGATAGAGCTCAAATAACTGGATAACAATCCTTCATTTAATGCTAGTCGTATCCAAGCCCTACAATAACCCACTTCGGTAGTGATCTGTGTCAAGCCTTGAATTTGATCTATAATCTGCCGATGGGAGAAAACCAAAAGCGGACCCCAAAAACTGGGCTGTGGCATAGCATCAAAGTCTGGTCCACTTAGAGCCTCTGTCACACGGTTTAACAATGAATCCTTTAATCCGTGCAAAAACATAGCTTCCAAAGCAGAGCACAGAGTCATTGCCTCTTCGCAATTTCCCACTGTACCACCTTCCATCACACCTGGAGCACTTTGCATCTCCATGACACTGGTGTTTAACAGCTTCTGAAGTGATTCCCGTACCAGGACATCCCTTCTGGAGGTCACAGACTTCACCGTCTTTATAAATGAGTTCATCTTTTCTGTCTTGATGATTAACCGAGGTACTTTTAATACTATAATGAAGCCCGACGATTGTCTTCATGATTCAACAAGAAACTACCTTAAATGTTTGCTGCAATATTTAACAAATCTCCTCGTCAATACGGCGTGACCGCCAACGTACGAATGGTCAATTCTCTCAGTAGCAGAGAGCATAACGAGAATACAAGGAATACCCGGAAGGGGTCACAAAGTAAATACAATCTTAACCAGATAAGAAAGGCGCTTGAACTTTGTGCTAAATATCAAACGATATCTCTTACGTTTGTTTTGAGAGGTTATGTTCCACCAAGATGACACATCGATTCTCTCTACAGACGTTGAGGAACTTAAAACGAATGAGTATTTCTCAACAGCCGTCACATTTTAGATTTTTTGCATTCTCTATACAAACTTCAACACTCTCCATAAATACTCGGAATCATTTCTCATAGTCCTCCTTGAGTAGCACTATCATAAATTAATGGCATCTTTCTTTCCTTGAAAATAGTTCGTGCTCTATCCGCCCATTGCGTTGCTACCAGCTACTACCATTTTTAACATCCTCAGGGCATTCAAAGGTAATAAAGCTGCATTCAGAATAAACCATCTACCACGGTCCTTAGACACGTAAGTGTAATATAGTGGGTGACTGGGTGGTTAGCAGCGAGCCTGAGAATCTTTACTGAGAAAGTAAGAGTCAATGCATCCATATATGACAATTCAAAGGGGACAGCAAGTGCAATATTTATGTTGCAGTTTGCAGGTGACTTTACACACAGCCAGAAGTCGAAGACACGCAGGCGCATTAACGTTCACACGCTCCTTCTCATCCTACGAACGCCAGTGCACCGTTATTTTAAGCACTATTATTCCACAAAGCACACTGCCGAGTATACAAACTCTGTACGAAGCGTCTAATCTCTCCAAGGAACATTGCGTAACGTACAAGCTGAGCAAATGCTTTGGGCTTTACGAATAAGAGACTTTTTTAACCTACATTTCAGCTGAATTACATACTAAAATACATGATCTCTTTTGTCTCAAGCTGAACAATAAACCATACCTGGAGTCCGGCAAACGATTAGCATCTCCCGAATAAAAAAAGGAGATCAATGAGACATTCATTGACAATAAATGCCCATTGTCTTCATCAGCTGATACCTTGTTATACAAGAACGTAACTAAAGAAGTCATAATATTCTGATCCAGGTATTATTTAGGATTATACAGAATCCAGGAATTATTTATCTGATTAACAACTATGATCTTTCTATATGTCCAGGAGATATAGATGGAGAAAACAATTTTCGTCTGATAGAATCAACCAGTACTTTCCTAGTATTATATTTAGATGCGCACTTAGCGCATTTTGAATGTTGAGGAGGTGCATCTTGTGTGAATGACCGAAAGCATGATGGCTCGGTGCGTGTTCCTCCGGTTTGACGGCGATAGAACTCGTGAACGAGGAAAGAGAGGAAGCAGGAGAAAAGAGAGGATGCAATGCAGTGAGCAAGGGAGGGCGAAAAAGACGGCACCTTGTAGAAAATGAGAGAACGAAAGGGAATAGTGGAATCAGGATCGTAACAAGTTACATAATATTTGGGAGAATAAGCAAGAATAAGATTATTTACGAATTCATAAATATCTTTTCCCTTTTTTTTTTCACGGTAAGTACACCCACCTTGCGATCCCTTAGTACCCACATCCTGTTGGATTTCTTTGGATTGCAGAAATTATCGCAAATATATTTGAATTAGAAAATACCCATATGCTTTGTTATCAATGGCGATATTCAGGCCTACGTGTGCGAAATTAAATAATTTGCCATCGGGAGATAAACATGACTTTTTCTATCAGCTGCCAGTCGACTGTGCGATACAGAAACAATGAAAACTCGCTACACTTGCTATTTGCAATACATACGCAATTTATATCTGAGCAAGCAATACGCTGTGTGGTACTCTGATAGAAAATATTGTTTTCAACATGCATTGACGTACTTACACGAGGAATCTAAAGTTAATAAATTTGCACGCGAGAACGCAATATGTATATTGTGGAATGCACAGACGTTTGCACATTTGGATCTCATGCGTTTGTTATTTGTATTACGTTGAGTTTCATATCTCTATACATATCATGAGAGTTGAACGCATAAGAATCAGTATAGGAAATATGTTTTTGTTAAAAAAAATGTATATCTACTCATTGGATTATGACGCGTATTCGCATTGGTGAAACAAATGTGTGTTACGTGTAAATGCCGGCTCGTTCGCGGTTTAATTAACGCTTGTATAAATATTGATAAATTTAATTGACCTTTATGTAAATGTTTATCACAAGAGAGTGAACAAATGCGTCACTGATACATTTATTGCCCGCATGTGTAATAGTTTATGTCGCTACGACAAAGGGAATATCCTCGTGTACTATAATAGTTAATTTTTTTGGGAAAATAGATACTTCATTAAAATAATTAAAAAATATACTATACAGAATTGCATTGTAACCTGGCGAAGATTTTATTATACCAGGGTATTCATTATACTAGAGATTTCATTAATCTAGCAGTATTGCAAAATACCAATTTCGGATATACAAAAATGTATGTATGCAAGTATAATTATTACAATTGTATAACATATGATGCAGTATAATAACGTAATTCAAGTCTATTAAAATGTTAGGCAACCTAAACCATCTCGTCCAGACCGTTTACGCTTTCTTCACATAATTAATGAATTGTTTGTTTCTCGAAATTAACTCAATTCCTCAGAAGAAGAATTGAAGTAGTAAAATAAGTAACAAAGCACCAGTGCCTCAGACGATGCTATCCGGTCCTGACCGTCATAGTGGAGTTTATACGTGGTGGTGGAATACTCGCGAAGAGTAGGGATGAGGTAGGAGGAGTTGGCTGGTGGGGTAGCAGATAGGTAGCAGCTAGCTAGTGTGGTGTTGTTGGTGTTGGATAGGGACGTAAGCTAGAGGAGGAGAAGTGGTTAGAGTGGTGGCGAAGGTGGACGTAGAGGAGGATGAGGGTGAGGATGAAGAGGGTCGCGTTCGGTCGCGGCAACCAGCCAGTACGGAAAATACTGTAGATTCGTGAAGAGCTAAGGAGCTCGTATAACGGTGGTGAGGTGATATGAGTAGCATGGACCCTATGTGGTGGTTGCGTGGCCTGTAATATATTTTCGTAGAGAGTATCGCGGAACTGAAACGGACGCGGGTGAGAATCGACCTGCCAGGAAAGAAAAGGGAATCGATTGCACGTGCCAAAGTGTCGTGGAGATATGGACTGAAATATAGTGTATTAAAATGCAAGATTTCTATGTGACTTTTTGGAAGGAGCGAAAGGGCTCGTTAAGGGTTGTGCAAGAATCGCGCCTCCAGGGCGATTCAGGATGCTGTTTTTATGGGGAATGTAAGGGAGTTTGCTAAGCCGGTAGCTGGTTAAGAAAAAATTCTGTTATTTTTTTCTAAGACACCAAATGTCCTTGGAGATGGCTCTTTTACAAAGTGTTGGGATATCCAGGATTGGAATAAGGGATGACCTTAATAATGAAACGTTGATGTACTCTAGGAGTAAGGATTGTGACGAACACACTTCCACTTCATCCAATACATCCTCGCATACTCTTAATAATGCATCTGGTGGTTTAGAAGATGATACCTGTCAGGTTGATCGACTTAGCCCTAGTAAGACACCGCATAAAAACAACTTGGGAAGTCCTTCTTTTTCTGACGCTTCACACAGTAGTTCACTTCCTTTTTCCAGTCCGTCTGGAAAATCACTAGAGATCAAAGCAACTTTGTTGCAGATTGATTCTAGTAAGGTTGATAGTGACACTACGAAAAGAACACCACTAAAGGGCCAACATAGGATTATAAGAGCTGCTATTCCATCGGAGAACTCCTGCTCCTCACATCCTGGTGTACAATCGGATAGACTTGTTCCTGTGAGCTCATCCTCTGTTTCCAATAATTATTCCCTATCCCAAACTACTTTATATGCCTCTGTGCCTCTGTCTGCCTTTGGATCAGTAAGAACTGTAGACAATGTGGTGTCTGCATCATCTAGTGTTGCAACAACAAATACATCTGGAAATGGAAATCTGGGAACACCATCATCTCAAACTACCTTGCCACCTCGAACTCCTAGCATAACTACAGCAGCTGGACCATCCACATCTTCCTGGACTAATTCCAATGAGCAGGAATCTGATTATGTTTCTGATCCTGTTCAAGGCAACACATATTACAAAGGACAATTTCTGGGAAAGGTACTAATTTTCTATTAAAATACAACTAAAGTTTTATTATTATTTATAACTATCAATTGGAGATACATAACAATTAATAGGTTGAATACTTTTTAAAACATAACAAAAAATTTCATTCTGCCCTCAAACCTTATTATTTAGGTTTTAGGAGTATATTAGAACATATGTAAATGCTAAATCCTCTGAGTACAACCACTTGAGGAATAAAATTAGTGTTTCTGAAGCTAAGGAGTTTACATTTAGCTCCAAAACTTCCTCAGGAAATTGAACTGTCAACGAGACGTCTGCACGGCTGTGTTTCTTCTTCTGAGAGACTGGTTAGAATTATGCAATTTGGGTCATGGATCTCGTACAAAAATAAGTATAGCTATCTCTTCCTTCCAGACTAACATAGAACTCTCTAAAAACAAGTTCTTCAAAAAGTCATTTATTCAAAAAGTGAAACTCACAACAGACAAGAATTATAACTTCAAAAAATTATAAATTCCGCCCCATTACAAGCAAATCCAAGCATACAAAAGACATTACAAATGTCCCAGGAATACTAAGTATTCGTTTAAATTCAGTATCCATCCTCAGAATTCCGTTATTGCCAAGTGAAACGGCGACAGATACATGAAGATTATCCATCCGTTTGATAAGAGTCAAATCAACAAACATTTATTAAACCAGACTCGCCTATCCAATTTCGGTCGTCATATCAACTAGGAGAAATGGTTAAACTTCAATATAGAGATTCACAATACTGTGAGAAATTAAAAAAAAAAGTTCAGTAACAAAACTTAAGTTTTCATGAACTTTTTGTCACCCAACTTCTGAGTATTCTGACCTGGCGAATTTGCAAGAACTAATTATCATTTATTCACCATCATCGTGAGCAATCTTTGGTGAATCAGATTATTATTGAAAATCATACAGATTGTCTATGCCCTAAGAAAGGAATTCCATAACGTCACTGCTTTGCGGAAACGATAACCACTGGCTGGTGTCTACCTATTCTCACCACCTGCGCGCATTCTATGTATGAATCACTCTCACGACTCCCAAGGTAACCACAAGAACGTCACAGTACTGCAAATAGAGGAAAGCAAGAAAATATCAAAGGGATTCTATTTTTTCTACGTCACAGAGTATCATTGAATATTATACATAACTGTTATACCCTTTAGAAACCGTTTGGTTTTCTTATAATTTGGACATACCAAAGCAAACAAACTCCTAGCGCGTTTCTGACTCAAGCTCTGTGAAAGACTAAGGACGGTAATACCGATGGCAGCGTAAAATTTGTAACTGTACGAATTGTGAAAAGTCAGACGATACGGTTTTAGTTCTTTGTCAACCTTGAGCTGGCAAACGAGCTCACATGGCACACGTTCTCATCAATGTACATATGCATACGTAGGTGTCAGAGTACGTGAATATATATAGGTATATATAGGTAGATGAAAACTCGAGGCTACCTCCGCTACCTAAGGACGGACAAAAGTTGGAAACACAAAGGATCGCGCTTGGATCTTTCGTGAGAAAGATTTTCTTCTTTTCTTTGGATCCTACCTCTCGACATTTTTCAACTTTACCCGAAGAAACCCAAGGTCTTTTTACCGTGAAACCTACTAGGTCCAAAACAGACGAAATATAGAAACTTGGCTCTTTTTGAAGATTTATTAGTACAGGAAGTTGAGATAAATTGCTGTGACTTATTGCTTTAAGAAATTTTCAGATAAACTCTGAAATAATTTAAAGATATATTATTTCTAGAATTTGCGTTTACACTGTACTTTTATTGGCACTTAAACTTTTCGTTCGTACCGTAGATTTGTATCTTGTAAACTGGAGAGAGCTTTCTCGAGAATAGTCTCTAATTATAGAGACTTACGGTTCCACTTAATAGTTGGTATTTTGATTTATTTTTCCGGTTCGCCACACATAAAGCTTGTCTCTTGAGCGCCACCGATTTTAATGACATAACAATCTTGGGTAATTGACGTTATTTCATCGGTCGTTTAAAAATCCACTTTCATACCATAACGATCTTCAAACTAGACTGTGCTAAAACTTCTTTTTGAGACTATAACTGTTTTATTCTATCAGTAACCAATCGTCACTCATTTTCCTTAATAAATACAGTAGAGCAGTGGCATCATTAACATAGTTTTTCTTAAATTTTTATCGATCGTCAAAACAATTATTAAATTATCAGTCTGTCCTTCGTATAGAATTTAGAATATTTAAGAAATTAGTACTGTCATTAAATTCTCACGAATGTCATCGTACTGTTAAATGCCTACAGGAAGCTTACTAGTTTAAATGATTCCTCGACCTTCTTGCTTCGGGATTCTCTCTCGTGATTCCCGTTGGTACGACCACGAATAGCCGAGACCTGACATTCCTGAATAGCAGAGTGAAAACATTTATTTAGTCAGGGAAGACTCGGTGTTCTCGTTTGAGGCTTCTTAAGTCTTACGCAAAGCCATGAACGTTGAAAATTACGAGTTTTTCCAACTGTGTATTATTGCCAATTAATCTTCCATAAACATTACTGGGTAGTTTTGTATCTGTGAAAAATCAGTCGAATTCGGACCCCCCAACAGTGTGTAAATATTGGTCTTAGCAATCGTCCAGAAACAGTAGTAATAACAGTGCTACTCAATCCAGACATATCGACAGATATTTGGATCTCACAGACGTACCTGGGAAATTTCGATGATTATCTTGGTTATCAAATATTATTAATAAAATTCTTATTTCCTAACAGACTTACAGAAGCCATTAAATCTCCCTTAATGTCTCTGCAGGGATTTTATATACTTTGACCTCCGATAAAAATCCTTTCCCATGCTTTTGTCACTTCCTTTACTGGTTCTACAAAATGGCAGGAATTGGGAAGCCACGTAACTTCGAACCGGACGGAAGTCTACTTCATTGTCGGATTTCTGATATATCAAATGTTATACTGAAAAAATCTATAAAACGTACATTCAGGATCAGTACGGGCATAATAAGAGCTCGATCGACAACTTTCCAGCGGGTTTCTATCGAGCGACAGACTAATCACAATGGAATCTGGTCTCGAGGCTGCTGCTACCTCTTGGGTCTTACAAGTATCAATTTTTCTTTTAAAGGAAACCCTCGCAAGCCGGTGATAAAGAAGTTTGATCTGTGGATAAATTATAGTAATTATGACTATTCAGGGGAATCACGTATGTTCACGTAATATTTTTGACATCCTGTATATCGAACCTGCAATTAATTCTTACGTGCGAAAATAATTTGACTATTTTTTTTTGTCTAAATACAGGGTGTCCCAAAATTACCTGACCAACGGGGTATGGCGGTGTTCGGGAGGCACCACTGATCACGAAAATGACCTTTCTTTTGTCCGGAAGATCATAGTTGTTAAATGGGAGCAGGTCAAAGTTGATCAATCAGAGGGAGGCGTCAAGAGAAACGTAGGCACCTACGAACTCTGAGTTTTCTTCGCTCGCTTTTGTTTCTCAGTGGCTTCGGGCAGGATGGAAATTGGAAATTGAAAATGCCTATTGGAAACAAGAAACAAGAAAGAAGCCACCGAGAAACAAAAGCGAGGGAAGAAAACTCAGAGTTCGTAGGTGCCTACGTTTCTCTTGACGCCTCCCTCTGATTGATCAACTTTGACCTGCTCCCATTTAACAACTATGATCTTCCGGACAAAAGAAAGGTCATTTTCGTGATCAGTGGTGCCTCCCGAACACCGCCATACCCCGTTGGTCAGGTAATTTTGGGACACCCTGTATTTAGACAAAAAAAAATAGTCAAATTATTTTCGCACGTAAGAATTAATTGCAGGTTCGATATACAGGATGTCAAAAATATTACGTGAACTTTTTAAAACTATGACCTTCCGGACAAAAGTAAGGTCATTTTCGTGATCAGTGGTGCCTCCCGAACACCGCCATACCCCGTTGGTCAGGTAATTTTGGGACACCCTGTATATACCCGTGCTGAAGTTTATCCGTGAAGACTGGATTTCATCGATTTTCGATTTATTTAACAATTTCTTATACATATATTTCTTATACATATACATATATTATCTGTTTAATGGTTATTGATAGAAAGCAATGGCGATGTTTAAAGTTTCAAATAGGTAGTAGACTAAAGAATACTAACGCTTCCGAGGCGACGACAGTTTTCGTAATGTCGGTAGATATTTTCGAGTTTCTGGCATTGAGCCGAGGACGGCCATTCTGTCTGCGTATTTACAAACGTGATCCTTCCCACGTCGACATATTTTAACGATTAATTTTTCTTCGAAGTCTGCAATTTAATGCATACTTCAGCAAGGCCATTTCGGTCACTCTCAAAGAATAACAGACATTATTTTACCCTGAACTACCCTGAACTAATTTCATAAAAATTTATCAATATCGTTAAAAAAAGTTTTCCACGATTAATCAATACTGATACTATTATTTTATTCTCTTCCAGGGTGGCTTTGCCAGGGTGTACATGATGACTGATATCGCCAATGGGACTCAGTATGCCTGCAAAATCATTCCGAAAAATCGTATGCAGAAAGTCCATATGCAAAAGGTTTGCATTCGTTAAAGTTCATAGATTCTAGCTGAATGTCATTTTATGAATAGACCTATAGCTATACAGTCATTATCATAGTATAGCATATATTTACGTTACCACATAAATTCTCAGTATAAAAGTTTGATATTCACTGTATATTACATTATTCATCAATTATTTCACCCAGGTGAAAGCTTATAATATATAATCATTATTCATATAGCATTATGAACCTTTCGTAAACTGTCTGCAAGTATGCTCATTGTACGCTGATAATCGCAAGGAATTCTAAAGAATTGGGTACTACTTGAATAATATATTTTCAGATAGCACGAGAGATCATGATTCACAAGGAACTGAACCACGTGAACGTTGTTCAGATGCATCACTACTTCGAGGACAATCTAAATGCCTACATGCTCCTGGAGGCTTGCCCACGAAAGGTATCAGCTACGTTTTCTCAGATGCTTTTCTTGGAAATTACATTCAATCATTCTAACTCAAGAAACTACTTTAAACTAACCGTATCTTCCTTTGCTAGTAACAACATGAAAATCCTATCATCACCCTCGAACCGTGCAATCACTTGATAAGAAATTTTATAAAACCAAGTCGATCATCGTAAAGGCCCAATCGCTGCACGTCACGAAGATAAATTTGGGACGTCGACCTCACGATAAATATATTTAGAAACATAGAAATACTGTAGAAACCTGTAACACGCTGTAGGCAGGGTTGATCGTTATGATCACTGTAATTTCGATTTTACAGTCCGTTAGGAGTTTCCTGTCAGGGACTTCTTTCTTTTCTGTCTCATTATAGAGACACTTCCGGTTTCAATGAATAGAACTTGTATACAGAAGGGTTTGAACGTTTAGGTCATTTACATGTAAACGGTTGGTTTGCTTTTATTAATTGTAAGGTAATTCCACGCTTGGACGCCCTTAAACTTTGCCCTGCATATGAGAAGTACCTGCAAGCTCAGTATATGTATATACAGACTTACCATATATACTTATGGAATGTTTCCTGTTAGTGCATTAGTTATTTATTCATTAAATCAAACCATTGTCATTGTAATTGCCAGGAATTTAATTCTATTCAATTGTAAGACTAATGAATATAGCTACTCGCTGTACTGTTCTCGTACACGAGGCTGTAACCACGAATTGAGAGTCACTTGCACTCTCCACTAACTAATCTCTCAACCTGTTTGTACAGTTAGAGTCGATGGGAAACGTTTAGAGTTCGAGGAGTAATGTCTAAACGCTTGATTATACGCGCCACGGAGCTTATCCTGTCTCCGCAGTACCGAGAATGTCCTCGTTTATAGTATGACAAAAATTGTACGTGCCACTTTTGTCTCGCCTCCACAAAATCTTCTTGCTTTCTATCAAGCATTCACACTGACTTTCCACCGTTCAGGTGAATCTGATGTATCAGGATTTCTAAATAAGTATCGATCAACAGGGTCTAAGAGTATCTGAACTGGTTTATCTATCAATTATTGTACTTATCCTTTGGTGGACTTATAATTTTTAACTTTATACAGTCGTGGGAATATACTTTATTGTTATTTGTATACGGGAAGGCTACGGCGCTCTTCGAGCACGTAAACATCAACTGCAGCCATCATCCTGTCGCCCGAGTAATCTTGTGGAACTTGAACGGCTCCTTATGGTATCTGATCTTGGTAAGATCTATAGTGGCTCTGAAGCATCCATCTTGATCTTACAAACTGCAACCTAACTTTCCTACTGAGGATTATAAGGAAGCTGAGGAATTACCTTGGATTCTATGTACAATCTTCTTCATTATCGTTCGTACGTTAACGAGTTATATCCTCTTGATATTGTGGTTATTTCTCTTACAAACATGTATCAGGTCAGATATGAGGTGACTTCTGTAACTTGTATTACACCTGGTCTTTGAGTGATAGATTTGAGTGGCAATAGGCAATGTATCCTTACATAGTTACATGGTCTTAAGGAGTCATAGATGAGTAAAAGTTACCTATAGAGAAATACTGCTTAGGTATAGAACGATCAATGCTTGCCGATAGCAAAAACAATAACTGTCAATTATATGGCGAGTCAAGGACTAGAATAAAATTGAAAACTTAATGGGACTTGATTACCTTAAGCAATTTTATAAAGGAATATACTCTGTGTTTATACGTGTATGTACATCATTGCGTTGTGCAACTAGCTAACTCCTGTCTTTTACCTTGAATTTTATAGAGTCTGATGCACGTACTGAAGTATCGAGGTAAAGTGACTGAGCCTGAAGCGCGTTATTACATGAAGCAAATGGTGACTGGGGTGGCTTACATACACTCTCAGAAAGTGGTTCACCGAGATCTCAAGCCGGGAAATATGTTCCTTTCCGAACATATGATAGTCAAGATAGGAGACTTCGGGCTGGCAACTCGTCCCGATGGTCAGCGTAGACGAGTGTAAGTAAAATCAAGTGTATCTCCCCATAGGATTGACTATTTATTAGTATTCGAATAGCTATTAACGTTAATTTCTGATTATTAACCAACAGGACAATATGCGGCACGCCAAATTATATTGCACCCGAGGTTCTTTACAAGCAAGCTTATAGTTACGAGGCTGACGTGTGGGCTTTGGGCTGCATTCTTTATGCCCTCCTGGTCGGGCAACCGCCTTTCGAGACAGCAACTCTCAAAGAAACCTACGCCAGGATATGCAGCAATCAATACAAAGAGGTGGATGACAGCATTGCTACACGGAGTGGCCAGGATCTTGTTCGATGGCTTTTACAGCCGACGCCAGAGCTGAGGCCGTCGCTTGAACGCGTCAAGGAGCATGCCTACCTCACGAAGGAATACGTTCCTGCAAGCCTACCGCACACGTGCTGCTACCAAATGCCACCAGCACATATTATCGAGCCATCGGCGGTACCACAGACGACCCTCGTCGAGGCACAGCTCACTCAATCCGTATCGGCCATGACAATACCGAAGAGCTCTGGCCGAAAGGAAGGGAAAGTCAATTGGTTAGTGAAAAGACTTCCAAAGTTGCCAAGACTCAAGCAGCGACTGAGCAGTGTTTTCTGCCCACCCGAGCACAAGAAGTCTGCTGCACTTATGCAGAGCATTCACATGCACCGTGCCCTGGATACTTGTATTATGGAAATTAAGTGCACCTGCGCAGCACAGAATCCTCCAACGGTAGACGACGTTACTCCGCTCTTTGTCACCAAGTGGATCGACTATTCGAATAAATATGGCCTTGGCTTTCAACTCTCTGACAGATCAGTCGGTGTTCTCTTCAACGATAGTACCAAGATGAGTTACACTCATGATAGAAGGTCAGTGCCTGACAGTTGGAAACAATCTTTCTATATATAATCATTCTGTAATCATTGCTTCTTGTAGGCGAGTGGAATACATGACGACTGACGATGAGATAACCAGGTACGACCGGGAGAGAGACGTCCCAGTGCCATTGCAAATGAAACTCGCCTTGCTGCATTTCTTCACGCAGTATATGGACGATCACTTGACTGAAGGTAAGCATTATAGTTCCTTTTATCACCTCGCAGATGAAGCTACGAGTGTCTCTGTCCAGGAGGCAAGATCAGGGAACGTCGTGGTAGTGCCAGACAAGCCAGGGCATGCGTACCCAGAATGCGAAGATGGCGACGAACCGACAAAGCTATCGTCATGGAACTGACCATTCCTCTTCTTCAAGTAAACTTCTTCCTAGACCATACGAAGATGGTGGTATCCCAGGAGACATCCGGAAGAGGATATCTTATAACGTATATCGATGCTGGCAGGCATACGTCTTCCTATTGGTTAAATGATCTCCGTGATTTTGGCTGCACGGCTGATCTTCACGAGCGACTCCATTACGTCTGCAAAGTGTCGCGCGAGTTTGCCGAGCTCGATCACGACATGATCGCCTGATTCTCCCCAGGAGTTTCACGTGGTATCAGCTCGGGAAATCATTTGTTGAGTCTAATTAGTTTAACTAGCTGATAAAGGATGATCATCGTTCTTCATTCGTCTTTCTATCACACTCTCATCGTTTTCCGAGGCATTTTTAATGTTAACGAATTACCATGTTGTTCTATTTGCGAGACAGATATCTATTTTTGAATATAAATTGTCATCCGATGTAACCCGCTATTCGGATGGCGTCCTAACAAGGAGTTAATAATGTCGCTAGTGTTTCACATATAGTTCTGTACGTTGGACAAAGGTACATCGAAGAAATATAGGTCTGGAACAGTTTCATACTTTTTGTACAGTACGTTTCGGTACAACGTACTATTTATAGTACACGTACGTAGAGATTAATGCGTACTGCACATTTATTGATATACGATCGAAGAATGCCGATACTTTAAATCAAAGATGTATCGCCTATCCACGAGTGCGCACGCACTCTGTCTCTATTTCTCTAGATTACTAACAAAGGTAGATTTGTTGAGATGTGATAAACGCTATGAGAAATTCAGAGTTCAAAACGGAGCAATACGTGAGAGTTTAGGTGTTAATGTCAATAAGTAAATAATATAGTTTCGATAGATGCGATTGTGCGAGCCGTCACTGCCATCGTCATTGCTACGGCAGACGCCATTGCTGCCGTTGCTTCCTGGCTGTTACGTTGTTTAATATGATAATTATTATATTTGTTAATATTGATTCGAGAATTATTATCATTATTATTACTATTATTATTATTATCATTATTAATATTATTATAATACCTACTGTTGTTCTCTAAGTTTTGACAAGCGCAGTACAGTAGTTACGCTCGTATAGATATGTCAATTCTGTACGGCGTTCATTTTGCGTTTAAGAACTGAACGGCCATATTGTCGTCGCTTTATAGATTTCGTCGTCTTTCACATCAATATATATTATAAATATTTATCCGGCAATTGCAATGCACCTGGTGCACGGGACGAGTTCATTACATATTACGTGATTGCGCCTTAGATTCACTTCACGTTTCTCATTACGTTCCCGTGGTACTTAATCTCATAGCTATATAATTGTATCGCCACGATCTACTATTTCTATTATTGTTAATCTTATCGTTATCCATGATACTTTTACGTATTATTATTTGCGGTGCGTGCTACGCTTCGGTACACGCTATTGCGCGAAACACCAGCCCAACGATTGTCACGAAGCAGGATAGTGCGTTTATTTTTTATTGCCGACTTTTTTTTTCTATCCAAGGATACATTTAACATATATGTTTGAAACAATGAAGCAGCAATGAACGCTAAGGATCTCATTATTCGTCTTTTACTTATTGTCTTAATCCTTCATTCCCCACTCCTTGTGTCTTACTCTTGTTAGTTTAAATTTCGCGGCTTTTTTAACCCGTCAGCGGGAGCGTTATTTCTAGCTTCTCGCTCTCACTGCTGCGTCATTCTATAGGTTGACTCGTGTCGAATGAGAGAAATGCTCATAGCGCGCCTTTTCGCGGGTTAAACGGTTCACGGCCACGTGCAGGGTTAACGGTTGTTTTTTTTCATAAATAAATAAAGCTACTTTATAAAAACATGGCTTCATTTTGTGTAACATGATTAAACAACTATTCGAGAGAGGCTAGTGTGTGTGTTGTGATGTTACGTGACTGCACGTGAGTGCGCAACTCTAGTTACAACGCATTTTAGTATGAGCACACCTGTTATTTATTCTTTCATCATGATTGTCATTTAGCTTGTCTCATGGACGCAGTATATGGTTCATTAAAACTAGCCTTACGTGTGCGATAAGAATAGCTTAAGCAAATGAAGTTTGATTCTGATTGTGAGGGCTTATGAGTGCTGTGTAAATACGAATGCGAAGAGTTAGTTGGCCCTTGGACTGATGAGAAGAAGATTTTTGAAAATGATCCATCAGAAATGCAGACAAGGCCTGTATCCGTCCAGCAATATTAATAGATTTCCAGTGCCTGAAGATAAAGTTCCATGGACCGAGGAATATCCGGATTATCAACCTGTTGATTATACTTCGCCTGTCCTTGAAGGGAAACCTTGGGCGGATCCGAAAATTGATGACCCTTCCTTCAAACCAAACTGGAATTCGATCGATGGTAAGATCGGATTTTGCATGACTTGTTTTTTATACTTTTATATGTTTTGTGATTGTAAAAAAGTTGTTTCTGTTTGTGAAAGGAATTTCGTAGTAAATTTCAAATTTGTAAATGTGATATATTAATGTAGAGCTGCAACGATTTTTCTTTAGTACCATTTAGTATCATGCAGGGTGGAATGTATAGAATGGTATTTCGTATTTTGTGTATCGTTTAATACAGTATTTCTAAGTTTAATAAAAGAATTAATGTATGGAATATTCGTAATATTAATGAGGCAAGTAAGAGAGACTCATTGGAGAGCCCCTACATGGCTCCAATACAGTTGACGAGTGCTCAGCTTGTTCATTTTCAACAGACAAGGTGAACCGTCAAAGTTTTATGGGTGACTACGTTGTCGATGACAATGGCTACCCTTCAAATCCTGTGGGTCGTACTGGCATCGTCGGTCGAGGTCTTCTTGGTCGCTGGGGACCAAATCATGCAGCTGATCCAATAGTAACTCGATGGAAGCGCAATGGCACGGGTGCTTTGGAGATAAATAGAGAGACAGAAAAACCAATTTTACAGTTTATTTCAATACAAAGAAAAGATTCTGGTGAATGGGGAATACCTGGTGGAATGGTAGATCCAGGGGAGACCATCACAGCAACACTTAAGAGGGAATTCATGGAAGAAGCTATGAATTCAATAGAGATGACTCAAGAAGAGAAAGAAGAATTAGAAGATTCGATCAAAAGATTTTTTGAAAAGGGTGACACCATTTATAAAGGATATGTGGATGATCCCCGTAACACTGATAATGCTTGGATGGAAACAGTTGCTCTGAATTTCCATGATGAGGATGGTAGTACTGTTGGCAGATTAAGTTTAAAAGCAGGAGATGATGCATCTAACGTCCGGTGGATGGATGCTAATAGAAATCTCAACTTGTATGCTAATCATGCAGAATTTATTAAACAAACTGCACATAAGCGTAATGCTCATTGGTAAGAAATTGTGTCAATAACAAAAATGAGCATTTCTTGCTTTTTTCATTTTGATAAACGCACACTCAAAGTGTCAGCTAGCTTTATTTTTATACTCCACTCAGAAGTTTTCATGACAAAATATATTAATCTCTTGCCAAAGTTAAAAATATTTTCTTATGCTATTATTATATTGTTTGATACTACCATTGTGGTAATTACCATTGATATAAAAGAAATACAATTTCACAGAATTGTAAGCCGTATTGCTTCACATATTTTAAATAAGAAATTCAAAGTGCTTAGGCACAATTTTATTCAATAACTATTTTCACATGTCCATTGTTATATGTACGAAATAAAATGATTACTAACAATAATACTATGTATATATACATCGAAATTTTTATACCATCCAAATTGTTCTTAGATCTGTGTTGCGTGTCAATTTCTAAAAATAAAATACATTTTAAAAATACAATCTATCGATAGTAGACCTTTTGTATTAAAACGAGATGATACTGTACATATTTTGAAGGAAATACTTTGTTACTGCAAAAAAGTTGAAAGTTAGAAAGTATGACCACTTCTAAACTTTTTCTGTACAATGTATGTTTCATATCACAATATATCATAGATAGCAATACTTTTATCATTACACAAATGTACAATTTTTTCTGAACAATATAGATGCGCTGACGAATTATTAAAGTTTTCAATTTTTGAAATAATAGTATATCTATTTAAAATAACTTAAACGACTAGAAAGAAATTTATAGGCTTATCAATTAAAAATATATATACTGCTAAATAAGTATTTCGTATTCGAGTAGTAAATCTATAACGAAAATGAGGTGTTAATGGAATAACTATGTTTATCAATGTAATTATTATTGCATAGTCATTATCAATACTTAATGGAAGAAACAGTTTAGGGTTTCTTAAGGTACTCAATATAGTAAAAGTACGAAATTTGTAACTGTATAATAATTAATCATCTTTCTTTTATCCAGTATCTCAACAGAAGCCCTAGCCATAAGTACAGAATTTAGATAAAATACTCCATCAGAGATTAGTAAAATAATTAAAACATTATTACACTGTGTAGACAATGCAGTATAAGTGCATCAAAATGTGGATTAGGAAAACAAAACTTTTTCTTCCACAGAAATGACTAATCAAGTAAATATCTTTCACCTGCAAAGTCGGATTATTAGAATTAGGTAATCGGTATCGTGATTCTTTTTTACTTTATACGCTGTACAATTACTAAATATTGTACTTTCACAACAAAAAATTGTGTTAATGATAGATAAAATTTAGTACGACATATTTTTATTATTACAACCAACAGTAATAGGTACTGGGTTTGGTTCATGTAAACCAAGAAAACCTAAAAATATATCAGTAGGGTTCTGACCCTGCTTTATAATATGATCAGAATATGACTTGTTCGAGACAGTTTCAGCATCCAGGTTAGTAGCAATATCGTTTTCATATTCTACCATCTTTACAAACATGCTATCTTTTGTATTGTCATCCTTACTTATCCTCTTTGCTTGGAAAGGATTAGCTTTCATCCTTAATACTGAATTATCCTTTAGATTATTCTTCTTTATATTTTTCTCCAAACTTAATGCTTCCTGAGCCTGAACCTGACCCAATCCTGCTGCTTTGGTAAATAGCATTCGTGCCATATTAGTGTCTATTGGAAGTCCACCTCTTCCTTGAGCATGAAAGACACCTAAGTTGTACATAGCATCAGCGTGACCCTGTTCAGCTGCATCGTGATAATATTTAGCAGCCTGAATCATAAGTAATGATTTAATACAAATTCTAAAGAAAAAATCTGTAAGGAATACTTTGCATACGGATATGATAATTTTATTGACTCTTGTAAGGACTATATTTGCTATCTTAAATGACGCGTACCTTTAAATTATCAACCAATGTTCCAATTCCCATTTCATAACATAATCCAAGGTTGAACGTACTTCCTGGGGACGATAACGTCGCACCAGTGGAAAAGTGCTTTATTGCATCTTTGTATCGTTTCTCTTCGATAGCTTTTATTCCAAAGCGAAGCTCAAATTCTCCCATTACTAATCTATGTGTTCGAGTGAATTCGTCTCCGGCTTCTTGGAAAGCCTGTGTCAATATAAAATGTCACATTTGTTATCAGAGGAATAATATCCTACAGAGAGAGATAAAAAGAAAAACTGAGATTTTAGATTATTAGTTGACGACAGTGTATATAAACACCTTCCATCATTTGCTCCATTTAATAGTCATTAAGTGTATACAACCATGACTTTGTAATATGATCGTTGAGTGATAACATTTAAGTTGACTTGTAAGTTTTATCAAAAACAGAAGGATGTATAAACTTTGGGAAGGAGGAAAAAAAGCAAACATACGATACATTTTTGTGACAATTTACAGTCATTAACATTAATATATTGTTTACAATAATAGAGATGCATACAGCATACGGAATGCATATTTTTAAACAGCAATCTATATTAGATATACTACTTGTTTGTGCTCTAGGCATACATCAGTTTTTGATATTTACAATGTAAATAAAATATGATTATCATAGAACAAAATATTAAATAAAAAGTAACTGTGTTAAAAAGTACATGAGAATGATGTTCATGTATACTATATTGAGTATCATTAAATTGACTTCCATATTTATTATGCTATATCAATATCAAATTAAAAACTCTAAAACTACCCAAAGAATCAAGAATTACTGTTATCTCAATATTATTAAAGAGTATAATGTCTACAGAACAACATTCTCACCTCTTCAATGGTGATCGGCCCATATGGTTTATTTGCTGTCCATTCCTGTTCTACCGCATTGCTACCACTGTTGTCATTGCTCTGACCAATGCAATTTGTAACAGGTAAAACATAATAAGGGTGTAAGTTTGTTGCCTTCAAGAGTAAATGTGAAATGCGTGCCTCCTGGCCGAATAAAATTTTTTGGCGCCATGTGCACTTTTGATCTGCTTCAAAGATTCTCCTTCGAAGACACAAAGTTTGACAAACCACCCATCCGACAGCAAGCATGCTTGACTAAACAAAGGAAATTTCGGTATTCTGTAATGTTTCTTTATTAACATAAAAAATAATGTTGAGTATCCACAATGCTCATAATAAAATGTAATATAAATTACAATTTCATTGTAGAGAAAGTTTTACAAGTCATTTTAAAACCTACCCAACCGATAGCTTCTCTCCAAGTATGCCTGGGATTCCATTTGGAATCGTGTTTCTCATCCTTAGCTCCAGCAGTTTTGGTAGAGCCGCATATATTATTATCCTTACAAGAAGTTAAATTTGGTGCATGAAATTTCCCACTACACTCAGGTCTGTTCTTAACCTGAATCTCATTATTGTTTGGCGAAGATTGGGAGTAAACGTTTGTTCGACAGTTCGTACGGCGCTCCAATGTTTCTCGAATGCCCCGAGTCATGAACTTCCACATTTTCATCAGATCTTTTGACACAATTTATCAAATTACCGTTTTCGTTCAAAAACGCAAATTCGAACTGTTAAACACGACGTCTGCTCCTGCACAGCAGAGCTGCACAGACGAAGATCCAACCAGAGATGAGTAAGGAGATGCACAGTAGAGATGAGTGGGGAGATGCACAACAGAGATGAGTGGGGAGATGTACAACGCTAAGGTTTTAGGCGATACCAAAAGCATGGTGCTAAATCGTAGCGGCGAGTCCGGGAGTATGATTTCGTGATCATCGCCTCCGTCGATACTGCATATCTCGTCGTAGCCGAGCTGAATGTAATCACGAACGTGTAGCCTGGTGTAGTCTGGCCGGCAGAGATTCTCTGCAACTTACCGCTGATTTTCAGAGCAACCCTTGGAACGAGGCCGCTCATCAGATATTGCCTAAATATTTTTTTTTGTAATCTTAAATTCGAGTGCACAGTGTATGTTCGATAAGATTTACTAAGACAAAAGCCAACACCTCATGCCTGCCTGCGTTAAGGAGTGCAGCGATGCGGTGCTAGCTTCCAGCATTATTTAACAATAGTTCCAAGCGAAACCATGATTCCAACATTGATTACTAGAGAGAACTACCCCGGAACTATTTGAAACACAATCTGATAACAACACTGAAAGCCAGCTTCTTATGCATACTTGCACTGAAGCGTATGGTGCGACTAGTATCCTTAACAGATATTTTACCGATGTTACATAGCAGAACTACTATTAAAACCTATAAGGAACTATAGAACTCCTCGAGAACTATTGAAAAAGCCTATTGTTGAAATATTTTTGAGAAATTTTTAAGAAAGTGCGGTGCTGGAGGTCCACACCCGTGTAGCACCCATAGAGTTAATACAGATAGAGCAGACAAGCCAGCTCTCAACGCAGCAGAGGCGAAGAGAAATTTTTAAGAAAGTGCGGTGCCGGAGATCCACACCCGTTTAGCACCTTAATTTTTTTTAAATTCATATTTTAACGATATTACGTAGCAGAATTATTGTTAAAACCTATTAGGAACTATAGAACTCCTCGAGAACTATTGAAAAAGCCTATTGTTGAAATATTTTTGAGAAATTTTTAAGAAAGTGCGGTGCTGGAGGTCCACACCCGTGTAGCACCCATAGAGTTAATACAGATAGAGCAGACAAGCCAGCTCTCAACGCAGCAGAGGCGAAGAGAGAGATAGATGCAAATCAGGGTGCTTGCTGTCGGATAGCTAAAGGGGTTCAGCTATTTCTTTCTTTCTTATTATGAGCGAACGGACACTTCCACTTGCAGAGCAGCCTATGGCGTGTCTGCTCTATCTGTATTAACTCTATGGTAGCACCTCAATTTTTTTAAAATTTGTATTTTAACGATGTTACGTAGCAGAATTATTGTTAAAACCAACACTTACAACGAGGCAACTCATCGAATATAGCCTAAATATTTTTTTTCTTTACAATCTTAAGTTCGAGCGCACAGTGTAAGCTCGGTAAGTTTAATATGAAAAAAATTAGCAACTCATGCCTGCCTACACTGAAGCGTATGATGCCACCAATGTATTTATTAGATATTTTACCGCTGTTGCGCAACAGAACTATTGTTAAAACCTATTTTCATAGCTAGTATGTGTGCGAGTGACAATCGCAAATATACATTTTGCAAAAGAATGTTGTAAGCTTACCCATGTATCAGCGTATACATCTAGAATAATTGGATGCATTGTATTGCGCCGAGTATTTTATTGGAACCATAATAATTGATAAAGAGAAGACAGATAAGTGCAGTTATAACCGCATACATCTAAAACAAATGTATGCAGTGTATTATGCCAAGTAATTTATATAAATTTTAATTAATAAGCTAGCGTAAGTTAGCGGGCGCCAGCCAATTCCTCTTTCACCGGGAACTGACGACTCGGTATGACCTGGGAGTTGGGAAGGATCAGGCCCAACTCCGCTAAAACGAGAGCCTTGACGGAACATATCAGAAAGACGATAACTTAACGGATTCTGTAGATTTTTTGGGAAAAATAAAGAAACGTAAAATAGAGAAACGCAACAGTAGGTGCTGATCATTGAGGTCGCGTAAAATCAGCAAATACAACTGGATGCACAAACGGGAGCAGACGGTTACGGAAATGCACGGCCGCTCAGGTTGTTAGGTTGAGCTTGAGCTTGAGAGGGTCGAAGTAAGCTTTAGGCAAATATAGCGCGATACAGAGAGCAACGGATCGAGAACGTAACAGAACGAATCGGACGTGTCTAATCGAAATCCCTTCACCAATTAATAAATTGGGAGTACTCACCGGAGCTGGTGCAGCAAATCCGTGAAGGTCGAGAACTGCATCCAGGGGACACTCGAGTGGGCACTGCACTACACTTTCGGAACACTCACAGGAAATCCATAGAATTTCCTGGATATCGCGAGAGAAACGCGAGAACTACACGAACGAGAACTTGCTACACCATATCGAAACACGGCTAAAAAAACTATCAACAGATAGCACGTGAGCGCGAAGGAGTTCGTGACACCTCGGTCGGTGCCCCGAGACAGACTGCTTTGATAATAGTCAAATTCGAGAACTAATCATTCTGATCATCTGATTGGTCGAGATCCTTATAGCCAATAACTTTTCCATTTCCCTCGAGTCGTCCCGTTAAACGAAATCGAGGCGTTTCTTAGTTGATCGGCACGCAAGTTTTGGAGATCCTCCACGGCCGCTTCCCCAGGTCATCGGGTGACAGCTGGGCACCACATCCTTAACTCGGGTCAGGGGGTTCCTTGCCTGCCCTCAACCGTATCAAAACTATATCTCCGCCCGCTCTACAGTCCTTTGCCCATCTCCAGCGGGGCATCGGTATCTCACCCGGGCTTCTGCCGGTCCGTGGAGACGTCTCCGTCGGGTATTCTCCTCTGCCGGGCAACTCGGTACGTCGGGACTATCTCCTCATGGCAGATTCGAGCACCTCGACCTCAACTAAACAATAATGAAATCTTACGAGAGCATTGGCATAACTATACAAATCAACCCGAGGGCATAGCTTCTGAGCAGAAATCAGGTGCTGGCTTTTGTCTTAGTAAATCTTATCGAGCTTACACTGTGTACTCGAATTTAAGATTACAAAAAAAAAAAATATTTTGGCAATATCTGATGAGCGGCCTCGTTCTAATGGTTACTCTGGGAACTAGCGGTAAGTTGCGGAGAACCTCTGCCCGCCAAGCTATACGTTCGTGATCACGTTTAGTTCGGCTACGATCTTCTTCTTCTTCTTGTTCCTTATGGCTTTATGCCCTCGTTCGGCTACGATGGGACATGCACTATCGACGGAGGCGGTGATCACAAAATCCTATTCCCGGGCTCGCCGCTACGATTTAGCGTCGTGTTTTTGGTATCGCCTAAAACCGTGGCGTTGTACATCTCCCTTGATCTCTCTACTCATCTCTGTTTCTGCTTCTGGAATCACCGCTTTGAAGACGAACAAGTGTTGGGCGAAATCCGTATGATTACCATGATTACTAACATGGAGACTAGAGTAGAGGAGTCCCATCTCTGTATATAAGGTATGACACCGAGAAGCTGTTAAAATTGAGGTTGCGCGAAACGACAATGCGGACATGTGGACTTTTTCAGCCATGAATACCGGGTTCGCGACCGGGTATTATTTTTTTTAATACTTTAACCAGATATAAGAGAAATAGATAGATACGATATTAGACATAGTTTATTCGTAATAACACGGTGATATCACATTGCAATGTCGTCATACAGAAATAATTAATAGCTTACAGTCTTTATCCTGCTTCTGACTGATAATGATTGGTAGACGATAAAGGCCAAGATGTATTAACATTCTCCATTAAAATGTATCCTTAATAAGTAACGGTGTAGTCCATAACCATGCAAATAGCAACAGAAACTGACTGCTGTAGTGTAGTATCAACTGCAATGTCCAACAGCAGTGATTTTATTGACATGAGACGACAAGTAAATCATGCCATAATTTCAACAGATTGTTCTGGATCGATAAGGGAATTCCTTGGCTTTACAATTGTGTATTTTGCATTGTGTTAGCTTAAGCCAACCCAATCCCAATTACAATCCCAAACCGTAACACTCCGGTCCTTACTTCCAGTGACTACACGTTTACCATCTTGCGATACAGCAATAGATGTCACAGCATCTGTATGAAATGATTGAGTTAACAGATCAATATACTCAGTTATTCTAGAAGAATATAAAGAATACTTGAATATACCAACCATGATGACAATGAAAGTTGGTACATAGAATGGCACCTCGGAGGTCCCAAATACTAAGGTTTCCTGATATGTCGCCTACAAGAAGGAAAGCCTCTTTCCAATAAAGAGAAATCGGCTCATCCTCAAGAATAGTACGATAAAGTTGTGTACTTGTTCGCACATCAATTATATTTAATACTTTATCATTAGCACAAGATACTATAGTTTTAGATTGAGGATCAAATCTCATTGCGTTTAATTTAGCTGTATGTGCTAAAAAAATAACGACAGTAGCAGTAGTATTTACGATTAGATCATATTTAAATAAATTCTGTTTACTGGTTAGAAATTATAGTTACAGACCTTTGACGGTGAACTGAAGATTGTATTTGTCCATGTTCCATAGAAAGATTTCTCCATCCTCTGTACCAGATACTAATAAACTGTCATTGCTATAAAAGAAATGAATATATTGAATAAAAGAAACTTATTATCCAATACTCATGAAACAATTAGTTTATACCTTGAGATGTCTAAACAAACAACTTTGGAGTCGTGATCTAATTGTGCAAGCAGACACTCAGCTGGTTTGATCTTTTTCGTGGACGAAGGACTACGCCAAACTTTAGCAGTGCAATCCCAAGATCCAGATACTAAGACTCCCCGAGAAGGACTCCAAGTTAGACAGGATACTGCGTCTTCATGACCCTGGAGTGTGTCTATTACACGACCAAATTCGACATCATAAAATATCCTGGGAAGTGACAAATGGAGATAGTCCGTTAATGCTTAGTGTTAATAGTATTGCATTAACTACTCATTAAAATATTGATATTACAATGTATTATCCCAGCACCCAGCTACTACAAAATTTGAGGAAACTGTGAACGTATTAGGTGTAGCCGCTGAAGATTTATGAGCTACACACGAGGACAAAGGTAATGTTGAAAGTGCTACGCTTCGTGTAAGCTTTCCACTTTTCATTGAATAAAGTTTCAGCATTCCATCTTGTCCCACAGACACAATATCTTCTGTGGAATCATTTGTTATCAGAACACTGTTCACTGCTTGTTTATGCGATTGAAATTTACTTAATTTCTTGAATATGGTGAAATCTTTGTCACTGACGCTTTCACATTCTGAAATTATTGTACATCAGTAAACAAATGTGAGTCTTGCATAACTTTTCTAAAATTTGTGACTTTACCTGTACATGAACTTCCTTGAGAAGATATTGAACTTACGCTGCGCATCAAACTTGAAGTACCGGAAACCATACGCTTTGGATGCCGCAATGTAAAAACTTGTTTAGGAATTTGACCAAACTCCATTATTTGAACTTCTAATCCGTGTCTATCATTTATATCCTGAATAGTATCTAAGTCTATGGCTCCTTCGTAACACAGATGAAAGAACACTGGAATTAATATATCATTTAATAATTTATATCATTTAACTTATCGTATTAATTAAGTCATTAGTTATTTCTTTACTATTGTCAGCTTTCTCAGCTTCAATTCCTTTTTGCTTGTATCCAAATATCAAGTCAATCCAATTATGAAGATTTTGAGATACGTAATCACTCTCCAGAGCATTTCTTAATTGCTGTACAAAATCCACTGGCCCTGTTATACAATTATTTTATGAATATGGATACTGTATCGAGTAATTATTTGCTTTAAAGACTGACTCACCATCTGCCCAAGGCGGTAGTTGAACGTCGCCAATCTTTCTACCATCGTGCCGGTAACCAAAGTCAATGCCATAAGTATTCACTAAAAAATCACCACCGTTGTTCGTGTCATAAAATTCTGGTACCAGTTCTTTAAAGTCAGACATGTTCAGCAATACATTTTTCCATACGTCGGCAACGCTGTCAGGTTTTTTTATTTCAATGTTAGACACTCAAATAAGCATAACGAATCATGAATGATTTTATAGAAGCAAGAAAGCAATGAATTATTAAATCCAGAAGTAAAAATTATAATTTTGCACGTTCCTTGGATTTGATCGTGTATTAAAAAGATAAGAGATCTTAGGGTGTCAAGCTTGCAGCAAATTATTTCACTTTTCATTTTGGATTTTCTCATCACCAATTCTTCATACCTGTTGAACATTCGGTCAGGATGATCAAATCTACCATTTTGCAGACAAAGCATATACTGAGGATACTTTCGAACCAAATAAAAAAGCACGAAACCTGGAGCACTATAGTGCGACCCATAGAGAAATTTTGGTTCTGACATTTCCATATAACGTTCCTATAAATGATGGATAATTAAAATTAAAATTGATACAAATTATTTCAATGAATGAATTATTAATACACTCACTTTTAATCTTTCTAATCTCGTAGGTTCAAGTGCGCCTATGGGTTTTGTTAAATCTCTGTAGACGTTAGGGTTATTTAGATCTAAAGTTGATGATGTGTAATCTTGTATGACCCAAGGCATAACAGGATACTGTGTTAAATCATGAAATGTTCGATCAGCAAGGCTAAAATTCGAAAGACAATTATTAAAAAATCAGTATAAATCAAGATTACGGATATTTACCTATTGACGTAAAGTAGATAATCATAGTTTGACAACGATCCATTCTGCCACTGTATGGTCATTTGATTTTGAGCAATTTTTTCTAATGAAACTGCTGGCTGACTTATTAATTTTTCATAAAGGTCGTCCCTCGTTTCTTGGCACTTTACTGATAGAAATAAATATTCTATTATAGATCCAGGATTTTTCGTCCATTTTATTTCAATTCCCTGATAATATTTTGAAATGAAATTATTAAATTGTAAAATATTTATGTACACAGCACCTAATACATACCACTTGACGTAACAGAAATCTTCGTTTAATTACATACTTTATATCTTTGAGGTTTATTTTTAGTACTGGATGCTAAAAAATGTAAATTATACATATGAGGATTATTGTTACCAGTTATAAAATTTTAAAATTAATCGGGTAATTCTGTTTAGCACTAAACCTACCAGAGCGGTCAAATGACCGCTTTTGAGACTTTAATCAAAATTGTTAAATTCCAGGTTTTTATTTTTCTTGAACTAAAGACTATGCTAAATTCTGTAATAATTACAATCAACTGGAAAAGACTATAATGTTTATTTCAAAAGCGGTCATTTGACAGCCATCGGTAGAAATAGGTATATATAATATGTCGGTAGGTTTAGTGTTAAGTCATTGATCGATGCAAGTTTAAATTCGATGTTTTTACCTGATCCATATTATTGTAAGGTTGAAAGTAGATCCTACAGGTCGTCAATAATACTTTGCCTGGATTAATGACAAGTGGTAGAACTTTATTTGCGTGAACTTCCAAAACAACTTGTTCGTAGAGATCTTCTAGCCAAGAAGTATCGAATGACACTCTTGATTGTCTTGAATGTACAATAGCCATGATCTATATAATAAATCTGTAATGTAATAATTCCGTGACGAAGATGACAATATTTGTAAATCTTTACCATGGCATTTTGTTCAGCCGTTGGAAGTGTGGTAGCTCTTAATAATTGTAACATATGTGGAAGACACTCATCCACTTTTGCATAATTAAAAGAAAATAAGAAGCACGTTGTCTTATGGATAAATTTATAAGGAGCAAGTATATTTCCTTCTAACATTTCCACATATTGCTTGCAGTGAATTGACAGAACATCGTTACATCTGATAAAAACATGAAAGTTTACTTATTCATATATTATCATAATTATGAATTAAACTAGTAAAATGCTGAAATGAATAAAAAGAAAGTTATTGAAGAGATACTTACCGTTTTGATGTATCATCTGAGTTCAATTTTTCTATTGCTAAAGTCTCTTTCAATTGAACTTTAATTAATGGTCGATTAATATCCTTATCTACAAATACTAAAGATTTGGAGCATAACTTTAATCTCCCCTCTATCCAATTGTTATATACAGAATTTGCACAGTCTGGTGACTTCATTTGAACACTGTAGTCTTCAAAAAAAATTTCTCCTGGTTCCAGGAGAAGCATCGTAAACCTATATCATAATTAAGAAATACATACTAAAAGTCTGTTTACGTGATAAATCTGTTAAAAATTTACTACTACATGTACTTAATAAAACCAAAGTAAATGTAAATAATAGAGCAAGTATGAAGAATACAGTAAAACTTTAAGACACCAATTAACTGCATAATTGATAACAAAACTGTTAAAACTGTCAGAAGAGGTTACAGTACAATCTGTCAAAATATTCATGAACAATTTACCTCTCTTTATCCATGACTTGCAGTGTCATTTATACAATATCAGATGAATGAACTCATTAAATAGTGCATAGCACTTTATCAAGTCTGCTGCTACCGCATAAAATTGAGACCTGTCAAATGTTGAAAAATCACAATAAAACGTCAACATTAGTCAGGATCAGTAACGTTATTCAGCCCATTTGAAAGTATAGTATATACTTGACATTTTTCTCATTCGAGAATTCTAAGCACATCAGACAACCAATCAGCATGTAGAGTAAACTGGAATTCACCAATCAATAATGAATCATCTTGGTGTTGAAATATTATTGAGTAAACTCTTGATCACATTTTTTTTAAACTGATTTAAATTATATAATACATAAATAGAACTACAAAGGAAGAAGTATTGATACTTTTAATCAAGCAGTTTCATTTATGTAATGCATAGAAAAAGAAGGATAAGAGTGTGGAATGGATTCTGTTAATAAGGAAACAAAGAATAGTTCTTTATGAACAGTATAGAAGTGTTTACATATACAATTCATATGCAAAGATATTATGATTTACTTAATACATACATAAATAAATAATTTACAGCTTTAATCTCTTAATATCTTCAGGTCCTAGATCCGTTCTTAGACCTGCTATACGATACACTTCAGCTGGTGTCAAACGCCAAGCTATCGCATCGGCACCACAATAATCAGCCAATTCTTCGACTTTCTCAACACTCAATACTGTTGCTATTTGCGTCAATCTTGCAAATTTATCACGTACAGACCAGGAAGTTGCTGCTGCCAAGTAGCTGGCAAGGGATCGTATTTCTTTATCCAAGATAAGTCCACCAGCCTGTGGAAAAGATAGAAGATAAAATTAAGTTTTAAAAACTTACAACTGTTGAATCGATTAATTAAAAATATAAGTAATCCTTAATATACTTACGCGATTAAAGCTTGACCTCAATACAACTTTTTCCAATCGTGCTGTTACTTCAGCTGTCAGTATACCAATCAAAGCATCGTAATTAGATGTTGTGAGACTACTTTTAAATGCTTGCAGTAATCCTTCCAGGTTCATCACCAATGTTTGAACAAAAGGCTCATCTGTTTCGTATCTCAACAATTCATCCTGGATAATTGATTCATTGATAAATAAAGCAGACAGCTTACAACTTTTCGGAGAAATAAGAATAATGTACCTCATTAATATGATGATTGACAGATTGAAAAGCATCTACCCAAGGTGTTATTCGTGGCTTCACAGCACTGACACGTAACTGCTCCAAACCGTAATCAACAACAGCCCTTAAAGTAGACGTTACTCCTTTGAGTCCCGTTAAACAACTTTCAATCTTTCCCCTATCTCTGTTCTGCATATTTGGAAAAACTGCATCTATTTCCTCAGCAAGACTTTTACTCAACGATTCAACATACTCAATGCTCACATCGGCGTTATTTAAATATGCCTGCAAAGTGAAACTAATGAAATAATACATATCGAGAATATAATAATTGTATATAGGCATTAAATGGTCCTTACAAGAAACATGAGTCTAGCAAGTTCTGTATCTGATGTTTGTAGTCGACCTTGCTGTATACTTGATTGCAGTGCATTGTAAGCCTGCGCTAAGTCTAAATAACCAGCAGGATAACCCTGGCGTAGTCTATTTCTTAATCTGGTAGCAAATTCACCTTCCAGGATACCACAGGCCATGTTAACAACAGCACATATTCCGTCAATACTCCAGCTTGAAATAACTCGTCTGTTTATAAAAATGGTTGTAATTATATAGATTGATAAAGTTTAAGCAGAAATGGGGATAGTAGTTTATAACAGACCTTATGCATTTTTGTACGATGAAGAAAACGTCATCGAGCATACTGGAAGTTTGTTGAGCTTGATCCAACGTATCCATTCCCACTGCTTTGTTTACACTTTCCTCCAGGAAGTACCTTTCCAGGGAGAGGTAGGCACTCAAGAGTTCCTGCATTCCTCGTGCCAATTCTGAATTTGTTGCGAATGTTTCAAACTCACTGAGAAGAGTTTTGCGCTGCGCCTCGTCAGTTGTACTAATTTCTAAATCATTCTGAAAGAAACAATGATAACTAAGTAAAAAATGGATTTTCGTGTGAGCTGTAATAAATTTATATATACGTTTATTCTTCTTCTCAGGAACCGGATGTACAATTCAGCTCTTGCGTGCATGATTGTTATCTCTCCAAGTAAAAGATCAAGATCTTTAGGATCTGCTTTTTCGGTACTCTGTTTCCTCAAATACTCATTCATCATTTGTATCTTTGCGGATATATTTCTGTGTCTCATGAACTCCAAAATTATTTTCTTTATTTGCCTGGTAATAAATCAATATTGGCTTTTCTTTCAGGAGATGGTGTTAATGATTCTTTTATTTACCTGTCACATTCTTTTTGCAGTACCATTATTGTCGTGAGAAGTCTACCAGGACCGTAGTAAGTTTCAATTATAGGTTGATGCACTTCTACCAATCGAGCAATCCCTTCGAACAATAATGTCATAGTGTCTGCATAGATAACAGGTGCTCTCTTGTCAGAGCTTTTTACATCGAGTGCTGTTTTTAAGTTCTTCTGTGCTGTTTCTTGAAGCTTGAGATTTTATATCCAATATGAATGTGTTGATCGGAAAAAAAAGTAAATGAGAAAACTGAATAATAATATTAAATACCTTTGTACATAAATATTGACAGAATTTATTAAGGCCTTCTGTATGCATTCCCAGGAGTGGAAATATTTTAAAGAATCTTTCAACAGATGCTAAGTCTTCAGATTTAACTGCTTCGTCAAACTTATGAGTGACGACAGCTCTAAGTTGTTGAGCAGCTTGTTGAAGAGTCAGAAGAGAACTGGTAATACTTGTATGATCTCCAGAAACATCCTCAGCAGTTTGTTCAAGGAGTTGTTGATCCATGGCTAAATAACGATGAACATGAGCAGCGCCTTGCTCATAATCTTCATTATGTAGCGCAGTTGCTACTCCTTGACTGCACAATTGAAGGTCCAGAATGTCATGTACTCTATTTTGGCATTCACAAACACGGCTCTATGCAGTAATTAAAATCTGTATTAACATTCAGCAGGAACTTTTGAGAATCCATACATTAACAATATTAAAAAACATACTCTAGCTAAATCCAGCTGTCTAACTTTTGCACTGACGTTCTCAGCTAGCTTGTTAGTGTGCGCAATCATATCTTTAAACTTCTCTCCCTCTGCACGTATAACAATGAGATTTGGTAGAACTTTACTAATATTTTGTAATTTAGCTTCAACATGACAATGTCGAGAAAGTATAAGATCCAGTTCCTTATTCGCAGCACCCTAAATAAACAATTAATAATTAATTAAACAATGGACCACTGTCAACAATCTTCCTGTATAAAACTAATTAGATTCATAGTAACTGAAATGAAAAGAAAATTATCAAGAAACATCTAACCTCATTCTCCAACAATTTATCACAGATAAATTGAAGGTTGTCTTCGTTCACTGTTAGATCCATTTTCACCTTATCATACTTTCTTTAGACAAAATCCTAAATACCAAAGTAGTTTTTTACTTATAAAATATAATATAAATAATCAGACTATCCTTAATACCCTTGTCTGTATCTGACAGTCAACACTGTTCAGCAACCAGTAATGGAACCATATGTTCCACTGACATGGCACTGATAAGCTAATCATTTTCCATTTCCTTTTAATTTCCACCTTTTTCAATAATTAGATAATTATCACAATGGGGATTGCATACAACATACTTCATTATAAATAGAAATAGATCAAATGAAGCAAACACTTCAAATTTCTGTATTGACATTTTTAATAATACGTACATGACAGAACTCGTTGCCTTCGAAAAAGATACATTAAACGTCAAACTAATTACTTAACATAAACTATAAATAACACATGATATTGCTTAAAACACTCTTCGCAAAGAAAACCTTCTTTTTCCCGAATGCAGCTTCACCGATGTTCTAACTATAGTATATAATACAACTAAGTCCCAGTACACATTCAGCTCTTTCTAAGATACAGATACAGTATTCCTAAAATAGTGTTGGTACGCAATCATTACTATCTGTTGGAAAGCAATATATCATATTTACCAGATTCAAGCAAATAAATGGGAACACATAATTCTCACTTTCATATGCTACTCGATTATAATAGTGAATGATATTTCATTGAGTGCTCTTTTATATTCTTTGAGCTATCCCTATCATATTCAGATAAGATTTTTCAAAATCTTTTAGGAAATGTGTCTAAATCTGAAAACACGCAATAAATGCAAACATCACATTGGTTTATCAACAATTCCCTAATAAGTGGTACATATGACTTTTACAAATAACTCGTTCGTCCTTTTCCATTTAAACTCTTGGAGTCAGGTAACTCGAGATCGTACAACATTTGCTGTCGTAAATATTCCACGCATACCAAGGGTGAGCAAGTTTTTTTTAAACTTCTTCTATCTATCATTACATAATCGGCATTACTTATATTAGAGATTAGCAAACCCAATATAGAAGTCAAACTGAACAGTCTTAACAGAGAAAAACTTTCATAGGGAATATAAAAAAAAGGCTCTCCGGTCTAACAACATGAGTAGCTATCATTCCAAGCCTAAGTGATGAGTGATGTAGTATACTTAATTTAATAATTTTTCTATGCTCGATATACGTAATTATAATATAATAATACATTAGATAAAAGAAAAAAAAGAAAAACCCCAATTGTATAGAACCACTTGATTAAAAGACAATCATAAATAAAAATATAGCTTCCAGTCCTACCAAATGTATTATAACAAGAATTGGCCACCCTAATTGTTATTTTCAATAGTCGCAATTAACAGAATGATTAATGATGGCAATTTTACATGCGTTAAGAATAAATACAAATGTTCCCAAGTTAATAAGAAGGTCCGTGGTGCAAGATCAATTAAACACAGTGGCCTTCTTAATAAAGTTAAGTGCAATGCGAATTTATAATCTAATATGAATTTTGTATTTTTCAGAATTAATTCAAAATGGAAGTAATTCACTGGAAGTTATGTGAGTACAGTATTTTCAAAGATCGCATCTCTACTATGTCTGCATCGTAACAAGAAGTATAGATATCGAGGCTAGTATACGAGAACAGCAATATCGCAATGCTGCTGCGATTTTCGACGAAGTGAAGGCAACGATGAAAATCAATCAACGATAGTCTTGTAGCTCTTAATAAATATCTAATTACATAATAAGGTAAAGGAATGGGCGCGAAGAAACATGTCCTATAAGAAATTCGATGACTCAGATTTTTTGCCTCAAGAGTCAGTGATAAGTGCGCATGACTTCTCTGTAAGTTTGAGGAAAGAAGTCTTACGTTTACAAAAATAGAAAATAAGAGAAAAAGACAATAAATAAATATGTTAAAAATGAGCAAATTGGCACATTTGATATCAGGCGAGGCGGCAGATTTTCGTTTACGCGTCAAAACTCGAAATACTTCAGTAAGACGAACATCGAAATCGGATCGTAAACTCCTATTTGTAAGGATTTTTGTATTTTGGTTTTGATGACGTAAATTCAAGATGTACAAGTAGAATGTACCAATGTGTATAAATTTCAATATTTTGCCAAAGCGAACTCTGCGAGCAGACTTAATTATTTGCTGATCGCCCGGAATATCCATATCGCGCTATATATATATATAAAAAAGAAAAAAAAATAATAGACACCCAACTTTCTGTTCACACGCAACAAATTTTATATAGTAACTTGTAATTCGCAGTGACGACATAATGTAAAGTAATTGAAATAAACTTTTCTGCGCCGAGGCAGGTAAAGAGAAATCTAAAATTTCAAATGTCAGAAGACGTTTCATTGGCTAATCTGAAAATGTATAATAGATTACGAATCAATTATTACATCAGCAAAGAAAAAACTTATACATACAAAGTTGTATGTAAAGCAGTCTCTATCAATGTAATTAAAACAATGCTAATTAGTATGACCATTAACTAAGCATACAGTGTACAGATTAAGCTTCGATTCTTCGCATCAGCATAACATAATTCGGACTTGGGATTCAGTTCTTTTGTCCATTATCTTTGTAAATATATAATACGTGCACTTCCTAGTTCGTATATCAATAATAGTAATAATAATCGCCACTCGAAAGAAGCTGCCTACTCCATCACTAAATTGTAAAAGCACTATGACACATTTAGATATCTAATATTTCGTGTAACCGAACGCACGATCGAGTTGCATGTGATTGGCAGTCTTTTACTTTGGTATAATCTTTTTTAATTAAATATTTGTTCAAGACTTCATTGGAAGAACGAGTGTAATGTATTTTGTATCATGAAAAAAAAACCGCAAGACTGATTTCTATATTGTCGATTACGTCGCCTCGCCTTATATCTAACCGCGGCACGATATGTAAATCTTAAATTTAACAACATATATTTTCGGCTGAATGTACAGGAAGAATTTAGTTCCAGATTAAACAAAAGATGCCAGCACAGCGATAAGAGTATCTCAGTCGTCTATATTATTATTTACCATGTTAATACTGGTCCAGGAATTATAATAGAGAAGAAGCTAATAAAAATAGCCACAATCCGACTGTAAAGGCAAGAAAATATACTCCGAGCCAGAATTAAAACAATGTATGATGATGATAAGCACAATGCTCATGAATTTGTCAGAGCGTGTTATATGTATGTACACATATATTAAATCTTTGTTGTTTAATATACAATAACGTTATTTATCGTTTTCGCGAACGTCTTTAAAGGAAATGTATCAGTGGGTTCACAGTGTCCAGGCCATTAGACTAAAGCTCATAGTCGGTTGTCATGTTGACAGGAGACATTTGTGTTACATAAACTCGACTGCCTGATACACTTAATTAACTAATTAATCATTTCAATTATATACTAATCATCGTAAGAGACTGACGATGTTCATGCGTTCGGCTACTAAACGATCACTCCAATTGCCGTTCATTCGTGACCACTCACGCAGGCGCTGAATCGGTCATCAATTTCTTCCTAAAGGTCAAACGTTACTATCCGGTGTATTGGTGAATCCCATTGGCTGAGCGTTTTCAACAAGCGTCGATTGCATACTCGTTGATGGGATTTGGGTATTCGTACCCGCAGATACTCGCATCTGATCCAGCGGTGCCCTGCGTAACCAAGAATAAGATTATGAATACATATCGGTGAACACATCAGATTATAACATTCCAGTGTATCGTGCAAATTTACTCGAGGCAGTAGATAGAACAGTGTTGATACTTTTGCTAGAATTGCGATCACCAGTACTGTACTTAAGTTAGCGTGTGATTTGTCGACAAGTAAAAGCAGTTGTATAATTAGTAAAACTGCCTAAGATTATTTAGATGTGATTAAGGCTGCTGCTTAGCTATTATACGCGTACGAATTGTGTTAATACTTTAACAATGAAAAACAAATTAGCAAAAAATGATTGTTTTTTTTTTCAGTTCTAACGTCACCAGTACGTATAAGTACGCACGTAAAATAGCTGAACAACGGGCTTACGTAGTACAAAAGGACATTCTGCGTGCACATCATACTTTAGACATTAATTAGATTACTTTTTGTATTCATAAGTCGTCTCAGATCGTGTTGGGATATACTGCGTACGTTTCTAAATTCACTGCTATACTAGAAATATCGCCATGTTGCTGTTTATGCAATTCATTGAGACAACTATGCTCACAGTACTGGCAGTGAATTTTTGGAACGTATTTGTTACATGATTGTAAGAGACAATAATTATTATAATGTTACCAACATTGACCAATACGTCTAACTCTTATTGATTAGTAATAAATAATGGATAGTTATTTGGAAATGAAGTGCATTGAAAATCACACAGTGATGCCTCAGTACTCATTCGATGATTTTGAGAAACAGAACTAATTCTAATCTAGAGATAAATTGATCTAGCAGAAATGCATGGGTGAAGGATATTCTTGAGAGTCTGATAGACTTCAGCATTGGAGACACCTCCTGGGGCGTATAGTAATGAAAGATGTAAGAACAAGAACTACTATGTACTACCTAAATTTATGATTGCAATCATTATGGAATATATGGTGATGTAAGTTTAACTGTAACATTCAACTTGGTATATTATTGCCTGGTTAGTGAAGTGGTGCAATGAATGTTTGATGATTTATGTTGGCCTCCAGACATCGGGATCCTCCATGAGAGTAGTATGCTGGTCTGCAGGGGGTGCACTTGGCGGCGGGAAGCTTACGTCCGTGGGTGTCATAACTGCTGGGTCTGGTCTGGACCCTCTGTCAGTCATTGTCATTGTGTGTCAGTATGTTAGTATAATTATTAAGAGCCCCTAACACTCAAATCTCATTTTTCATCCCCAGGAAGAAGGGTTAATTTTATTTAGGATATGCTGATATTTGTAGTCTCTTAGTCCTGTTTACATACCCTTTGTTATGCATTAGTCTCACTTTAATTTTACAATAAACAGATACCTAATTCAATGCAATAAAGTTCATATTGTAATATTTTAGATTAGATTGCATTTTTCTATATATTAATGTTGTCAGTCATGGCTATCTGTTTGTAATTACAATGCTGCAGTTGAATTAGTGAAAATATAAAGAATTGATATCAGAGTATAATGTACTGAGTAATTTAGAGCTTGGAATTCCTGGAGGTTAATTCATAATTTATATGCAATATGCTCCAACTAAAGCGACAGCTTCAAACACAAAGTAGTACGACACGTCAACATTAAACTTCACTTTCACCCACAGGCAATGCAGATACACTCGATGTAACATGTATAAGACATACCAGAATGTATATGTCATACCAGAAGATTATAGAATATGATTACTTAATAGAATATAAAAAGCACATCTTATTAGCGCCATATCTGGTCTTTGTTGTATTGAAATTGGAAACTAAGTATAATGATTCGATAGTGTCTATCTAATCACAATACAAGAACTGTATTTTGTGTTTTAGTGATAGATATAAGAAGTTCTGATATTTTTACTTACTTCTTGCCGAGAGACATGAAACCATAAATGACCCCTGTAGTGAATATTAAGCCACTCCCAAATATGATATTCAAATCTGGGCATAACAAGACTGGTGGAATTGCTAATCTGAAATTGTATAAATTGAAATATATTTAATGGTGGTAAGTACTCCACTTCAAATGTTATTTATGCAATAGTAAGATTTGATTAAAAATGGATTTAATATATCACTGTTACTTACAAGCAATAAACAGCTGCTCTACTCCAATAAGGTTTCTTTTCCACCCAATCGCTCAAGTTTTGTACAAAGTCAACGAACATACAACAACAAGGTGCCTCGACAGTCATAACTAGAAATCCAGCTACCATTTGCCACATCCCGCTTATTGGGCAACTTATGTAACCGAAAATTATTCCAATACACTTAAATGCTCCAAGAAAGATTGCAACTGAAAAATGAGTAAAAATTAAAAAATGAAGCATCTGTTAGCTTTCATTAATTTCATTAGATTACATTGAATACACGTCGAATATTGCAAAGTTCATAATCACTTATCTTCGTTTTCCTATTAAAATAAGCAACAAAAAACCTTTATATAACATTACATAAAAAAAAGCAATAATATGAATTGTAACAAGAAACCGGAAATGTCATTGAACGGAATATTAAATTTCGATCAGCCCTAATATTTTATTTTTACTCTTCTAACAGAGACACGGAATGAAAAGAAAATTCACCTCCATATTTGAATGATAATCTGGAATTTAAATCAATCACAATGAATGTGTAACTACATAAAATAAATTAGCCACGAACTATTCTCGTAGAATTAAAAATTAATAACATCCTACACATTTAAAATAGATATATTTATTAACCTATAAGAAATATCCTTTATTCTGTTTTCAATGAGAAGGCGATGTAGATAATGATTGATCTTCGTGTCAAACGTAATGAACGTAACAGGGATAGATGAGCATTAAAAGTTGATGATATAAAAAAACGAATAAATACATTAAAAAATAATTAAATATTGATTAAAACTTACGTAGGCTACCTACAGTACCGAGCCCTCGACCGGCATACTTCAGCCAAAAGGGAACATCGTCCTTGGCGACGGGATCCTGTCCAGGCCGCTGCATAATCGACGCCAATTTTTCTCCGAACGACTGAAAATAGAATTGGTTATCTACTGTCCGAATATCGTCGCGTTACTCATCTTCCGACGTAACTTTCTGTTGTTCCAATTCCCAAAAGCTTACCATTTTACAGCGTTATCGCGTCTTTGTTCTTCGTCAGCTGACAGCAGCGCTGAAATCTGTTGACGTGCGGAAAATCGACCCGTGCGTTTAATAACTTTGCCACCAGAGGCGCCATTTCTGCGATTTTTTTATCGAAAATATTGCCATTGACATTGTCGAATTAATTATAGAATAAATTGTTAATAAGATTCTTTAGTCTCTTTAGAAAATTAGCATTTTAATCTTCAAACATTAAATTACTAGTTTCAGTAGAAAGAGGTATTGCTGTATTCGATTTTCTTAATATAATCGTACAATGGAAATAGGACCTGGAAGCTTTGTATTACAGCGCATCGGAAGTACTTCCGGTGTTTGCGTCATTCGATATGAATTCAAATCATAAATATCTTAATTAACTGATTATACCGTGACATCAATCACTGTTAGAAAGCATTTAAGATTTAACAATATATTTTCTTGTTAACATTTTGGACAGATTTCAATATATACAAAATCAATTGTTCATTTACAATTTCCTTTTACAAAAATTAAAAAAATTCGCTTACTCGTGTATCTTACGCGCGTTTATACGTGAATATATGTTTACAGTTTAGAGATAAATATATATACAAATATAAAAGCGCGCGCGCGCATTTTATGGGAGTATTACGACTCGCAACGTTACAGACTGACAAATGTTGCTCCAATTTAAAAAATTTTCAAGACAAATCCGCAGGATCTTTGCGCGCAATTGAGTAACAATGCGCTACCGTCACATTTTAATCAACAGTGCAAGCAGTGCTGCGGCTGCATTAAAGCAAAAACATGCAAATATGCATCACGACGTATAATGAATTATTACGGCAAACGTATCTCCTTAGTGCCTGTTGGTATTCGCAAAGTCGAGAATTGGCAATTTTCGATCATGAATAAAGCGGGAATTTTTTTAAGTGAACATAAACAGCAATAGCATAATTTGCAAACTTTCACACAAAATACCAAAGCTGTGAGATACTCCTTCTTAAACTATAACAACATGTTTGTTACAACCTTTTCCATCCTACTTTTTCTTTTCCGTCTTATTATGTCAATAAAGGTACCAGCTAAGCGCGTTAAATTCATTCAAATTTTTCCCGCCGTTCACGAACAACGTAACCGAAGTGTACAGGCCCATTCTGAATCCATAGCTTCACAAATATAATTATTTACACAGATGGTAATTATTTACACGTGCGCAGATGAGACGTGGCGCCGGCCGACAAGGAAGTCTATGATAATAATTGTTTAAAAAAGAAAGAAGTTGGGAAAAAAGATCGAGACGCGCAGCTCGCTGGCAGTTTTATTTCATTGGGGAAGGTTGTTAGTCCGAGGTAGAAAAGCGTATCCGTTAGCTTCATTCGATAAAGCTTTGGAGAAGACTGTAGGAATGTACATTGAAGTACTATCATTACTTCAATATCTATGCTTCATGTAATGTAGGCAAAGTTTGAGGACATCAGTGCGATTCTATAAAACAATTGTTTCAATGTAGTCTTTACAATTCTGTTAAGTATAATAATGCTGAGTGTTGTTGTTTATCAATTTTATGGAACTAAATAAATGTTTCATGATTGTTTATAAAAAAGAGAGAAGTATGTAAAAAGAATGTTACGGACTGCACATTGTTAAATTACAAATGCAATATTCTTTGATCTTTCTATTAAATGATTTAGTATCATTAATGAACGTTGATATTGGTGCATCGAATCATTATTGAATTCTATAATTTTTATCTCTATCTATTAAATATTAAGATTCAGATCTAAATGAATTTAGACTTGTCGATTTAAAGAATAATCAAATGCTCGCCGTTACCACGCAATATCGACGAATTTTTGTGTTACGTGAAATTTGTTTTTCTAATGATCTTTGGAGCCTTCTATTCCGTCATGCGAATATTGCCTAGTGAAAGTTGATGACTGCCTTTGGACGTCACCGACCTAAATGAAGAGTGCGTGCCTCTGAGAGTAACGTATATGACTTTAATCTGCGTGCATGTTAATATCAACATTCACACGTAATTTAAAATAAATAATTGCAACTTCATGCGCGTATTATGAGAAACATATAAAGCGTCCACGCTTACGTTCCATTTCTTGTCCATTGATGGATTTTCATTGTAAAATCGATACTCAAGTAAGAGTAAGAGTACTCGAGTAAAATCGATACTACGTTCTGCGGTCACGGTTTCAAATAGTTAAGAGAGTTTTTGTGATCCGACTATAGTGCCAATTGTATACTTGAAAGTGCAAGTGGCAAACGTTAAGCAGAGCTTGAAGCTTCGACGCAAAATATCACAACAAAATCGATACGATCGATTCGATTTACGAGAGCATAGGATAAATAAAATAGAGAATAAAGAAAAGTCTCTACGCGAATCAGGTATGCCTAAGCGCGATGGCAAATATAAGGGCATCATTTTTTCTATGAGAAAATACAGCCTAGAGTTGCTAATTATATGATACTCATGGAACGACGATAGCGCTTCCTCGTGGTTGTCGTAGCCACAGGAACGGATATTGGTAAGAGAGGAATTACTGGTGTAACAGGGGTGACGGGGGTCAGAAGAATTTCAGCCGACGAAGCTGAAGAGGGGGGCCTGAGCTACCAAATATAGTTTTCAGTCTGTGGGGCCCTCATCACGCCCACGCCGCCACCGAGACGTCGATAATTCATACAACCGCATAAGCGCCATTGATTTTGTTCCGGATCGTAGACTTCTATTGTCTTTAAATAGGCAGTACCATCAAAGCCACCGACAGCATAAAGCTGTCCATTGACGACTGCTAGGCCCACCTATAAAAAAAATAATTTAAACATACCATAAAAGTAGTATTACACCTTGAGCTAATTATTCAAGTAATATATCCCAAAAGACACTAACCCCACTCCTTCTGGATGTCATGGCTACGATAGGACTCCAAGAATTAGTATGAGGATTGTACCGTTCCGCACTAGAAAGTTCCATACAGTCATCCCGTCCTCCCACAGCGTAAATGAAATTATTAAACACAGCACAACCTAGGTGTTTACGTCTTGTAGACATTGGAGGTACTTGAGACCATTTATTCTGTCTCGGATCATATCTTTCCACAGTATTGAGAGGCGACTGCCCATCGGACCCGCCGATGGCATACAGGTAACCTCCTAAGACAGCTACTGCGACTCCAAGCCTCCTCGTGGTCATTGGTGAGACTTTAGACCATTTATTCTCCTTAGGGTCGTACCTGTTTGTTACAATTTTATGGCTCATTACTACTATCTATAAAAGGTATATGAAATTAAAGATAGCCTTGCTGTTTAATTTACCGCTCTACGTGATTTAGGCATTGGACCCCATCCTGTCCTCCGACCGCGTACAGGAAACCGTCCAGAACGGCTACACCCACGCTAGTTCTACAAGACGTCGTAGGCGCAACATCACAAGACCATTGATTTGTCTGCGGATCGTATCTCTCAATACTATTTAAATAACTTTGTCCATCATGGCCACCGACTGCGTATAACAGGTCATTCAACACAGCAACCCCGACGCCACAACGTCTTTTGCTCATTGGCGCCACCATTTTCCAATCTGCGGTATTAGGATCGAATCTCTCAACACTGGCAATAGCGTCACCGGAGCACCATCCTCCAACGGCAAATAAAACTTCACCGCGTCTTGTAGGCTTTCTTGGTCGTGTTCTTGGTCCTTGCATCAATGGTCTCTCTTGGGGTAATAGTAAATAATTCTTTGCCTCGTCCACCAGATCTCGACAGGCGTCATCCGACCGGACCAATAAGTCAGAGCCAACGGTACCGACAAGAAACTTAGGACTTAAAAGTGGTAATCGAACATGTTGTAGAACCTGGGCTAGATGTTGTCTACGTTCCGTCACATTGTACTTCACCCAATTCATTACAGCACTAAAAACTTGTTCCTCCGTCCGTACATTTAGCTCATCCGAGGATATTATATCCACTAGTTGTCCAACTGGTAGAAGAAGGAATTCTTCGCTTTCCATTACCTGGATAGTGAGCGATTAAGGATTATTTAATGTATTACGAGACGCGTGGGATTACTAGTTATTACAAGTTTTGGAATTCCTTAGATCTTCTGATAACGCACCTCCTGGAAGTTGTGCTGGGTAAATTTGTCGGCGATGCGCAGGAGTTCGCGACAGGAATGGGTATCCGCGAACGCCCTTATCCCTAGACAGTTTGAAGGATCCAATTGACGTTTTAGAAATTCGCAACAGATGTCTTGAATTTCGGCCAGTTGGAGAAGACAGGCAGCTGGCAGGAGGGTCTGGACATTTGCTTCTTCGACGATGATATGCGAGGTGTAGCAAAAGTCAATCAGAAGTTCCATGGCGACCTCGTCGATGTCGCGTATCGTTACCTCCGTCTGCCGGGACTCTGCCAATTCTCCGGTAAACATTGCTCTGCAACGTGGGGATGTTAGAAGCGAATATTCGAATCGGAGGAGTTGTTCGAGGAGCATAATCGTCTACCTAAAATACGGGCTGCAGGCCGAGAGGATAACACGATGGGCAAATATTTTTCTAGAGCCGACATTGAGGACAACATCGCAGAGTTCTCGATGATGACGGAGAACGTTGAGTTCGGTGAGGGTGGCACGAGGGTGCTTCTCCGAGGTGTGACTGAGGCGTGCCGGGGATGGTGCGCGCTCTACAGCCATCTCGCCCATTCTCTGGGAGTTTTGAGCCCCCGTGCCCGCACCCGCACTCCCCGAGGGGCCTCGGGTCCCCCCGGCTAGCTGGAGGCGCAGCGGGGGTGACGCCCAGCCCCACACCGAGTCTATCTGCAACACCATTCACCAACCACCACTTATCGTAAACTGTGCCTCCGGGCACAGTATTGGTTCTCCGTTTTTCCTGGAAAAGATATTTTCCTTGTTAACGTATACTTATAGTTCACAACAATTGCAAGCACAATTGCTACCTGGTTACTTTTGTTAAATGTATAATACAATTCTGTAAGTTTGTGGAATGTATTGTGACTTAGCAAAACAACTTTATTCAATTGCTTAAGAACATTTCTTAATGAATCATGCTCAATTGCTACGGAGATGAAACGAAGGAAAAGAAAACTGCCTTATGCGTACAAAAGAAAGTTTTCTCAGATTCTTCAGTTTATTATTGGTATATGAAATGTCAAAGGAACATATGTTCAAATGAATGTCGACTGTGAATTGTCAAATCAATTACATCACACTTGCTTGCATTGAAACAAAACTGCCTAGAAATATAAACAGTAAATATACAAACGGCAAAACTATGAATCAATCTAAGAAATATTGTTTCGCAAACATCATCGAAGACATACTAAGCTACACTTGCGAACCAAAATACAAGTTATAAAATACGTTAATAGAGTTCGAGAGTATAACAATTATATATTCTTAGAGTAAACGAGCTACAAGCTTTTCGAATTAGTAACAGTACTCACCTTGGATACTCGAATAAAGCCGCAGGAGGGAAATACGGAAATTCTCTGCCTTTCAGAAGATTACAGTCTGCAGTTAGTAAACGTCACAAAACATTTTGTTTCTCGTTAAACGACATATGAGACTCAATACACAAAATGCCCACTAGGTCACTCAATGCTGCAACAAGTACTCCGTTAAAAAAAATCACAAGCAAGCTTTCATTTTGATAAACAATTAATGTATCAGGAACTCGGATTTGCTCCGATCTCCATTCAGCGGTGGCACATAAGCCAGTTCTGCCAACATAGTTTCCATCAATTGAGTACATCATAGCCGGGCACAGATGGCGGCACATTTCGCTTCGCCCATGATCATCATTACATAACAGTAGTAGTAGTATTTAGAACAAAATCCATATAAAAAAATTAATATTATATTAATCTCCTCGAGATATAAAATACCTCGATAAAAAGTCGACGAATAGTTAAAAAATATATTATTCACCCTTATTAAAAATTATTTTAGGCTTCCTCTTGTCAGTAACCCTCCACATATTATGATACTAATACTGATAACAAGAACGTCATAAAAAAAGAACTAAAGATTTTGAGATTTATCAAATAGAATTTCCACCAGCTGCGCTACCAATGATAATAAGTACATGAGGAATTTCCCAGCGCGTTGTTATATTCCATAATAAAAGAAAAAGAAGTTCTTATCTGAGAAATTGCTTTAGGAACGTTCTGTAATTAGGGAGAAGAATAAATTTAGTAACTCGACGCGTCAGTTTGGGAAGGTATCATTGATATAAATCTAGGAAATGGATGGTAGCATTTAGATCTCAGAGACAATGACTCGTAATAAAGGTGAAGACTGAATAGTATAGGGAGCCAGGTCTATGCCATATAAGGGGGACTGTTAACGCGTGTCCAAGGACCAAGAGATTCTAAGGGCGCAAGGGTGTAAGGCTATAAGGGGGTATAAGACTAGCAGCATTCCTAGACGGAGGCACCTTGCGCCAGCTGCCTACCGTCATTCTGACTTAAAAAAAACTAGGAGTCATCCCCGCAGCCCTTAGCCATCCTCGTGACCATTATATATATATATAAGATACGTTATCCCGCAGCGTTTAACTCTATGCTCCCGTACACATTTTTTGTAACTCCTCCAAGTCTTTGCTTTTTCTAATCCAAAATCTTTTCTCTTTTTTCTCACTCATCTCATCCCAGCTCGACCTTATATATATATATCTGCTGATGAATTTCTTCTTGTCGCTGCTGTGCAAAGCGACAGACATCATTCGTGCACTTTTGCCGCTTCTCTTTTTGCCTACGGGGATACCGAGCGGCCTGTCCAATCGCGAATCGAATCAGCAGTGGATCGTGCTTTCGATCGTCCAGGTTTCCGCACGCGGACGTGACGCGTTTACTTCCTTGGGCCGATCAGATATAAAGAGGGAGTCGGTGCAAGATGATCTCAGGTGAAGGTAGAGAAAAAAGAAGAAAAACTGCAATTGGTCGCAATATTGCGGGCAACCCCAGCGCACGAGCCTGCCTTAAACTGGGCCAAGTGTATGATAATAAATAATTCGCGCGCCTCCGCGCCCGGTTTATTGCGCACGAATGCGCTCCTGCACTCACGTTTGTACATATAAGTGCGCGCGCACGCTCTCCCTTGCCTTCCTCTTGTCTCAGCTGTCTCACCATTTAAGCGTTTAAGCCTGGTCTTCGTGCACGACATTTATTTTTATGCCCGCTCATTTGCGCCCGCTTATGGCTGGACACATGCTGCCCGGATCGATCGAAGGAACCACTGTGCGCCGCCTTTTCGCGGTGAAACGCCACAAGAAATCATTTTGCGAGCAGTTTCTGCCACTGAAAGATTATCGATAGATTAGCAAAGTGCACTCAAGGGCATTTCGGTATCTTACCTTATGTGATCCCCTGCATTTTTTTTCCTGTTCAAACGCTGGTAGCTTCGTCATATATCGTCGTAGGATCTAGGCCGCCATCTTGGATATCTAATAATATTTAAAATATAATTACTAGGACGTACTATGGTTTTATTACTACTACTTACAACACTGCAATTATAAAAAAGGTTACAACCTTGTTTGTCAGCAAACGCATATTTCTCTGATATTATTACGAGTTGTCCAACTTGAAAAAAAAATATTCTAAGCAGCCGGGAATTTGAATGCGTGGCTACGAGCTTATCACAGAAAGCAGCCAGGGCAGACAAACTGTTGTACAGCTGTTGTAAGGAACCTCGAGAAAATTATTGCTATCTAGCAGATACCTTTTGGAACCGTTGCGTCGTCCGTCTAGATAATTTATGCTCTGAATTAAACTGGCATACAGGAAATGATCATTGGTGATGGTAAAAAAATGCGTAACACGCAATTGCGTCCTCTTTGCGATGGTGGCGCATCTCTCGTATTAAATTCCAAGTAATATTTCAATGAGACTTATAACTATATCTACATACTGAATAAGACAGGTATCATTGGGACGCTAATTTCTTCGCATTTACCACCGGTTCCACGAATACTTCCAATTGGTCTTATTCTCATAATCGAAAATTGTATGCACACTGCGTTCCACTTTCATCCAATTGGAACGGTATTTTCCGCGATGTGCTGATTTCTCGGTTCGCTTTTATTTTTTCTAACAGGCCAATACCATGTCGTGATTTTGTCGACAGTACCGTTACAACGCTCACATCGTCCTCCGGCCAAATAAAAAGAAGTCACGAAGCGCTCCCATGAATTATGCCAGCGGCTGATTCCTCCGGCACGCGAACATCGGAGGAACGAGCATTTAATCGTGAGTCGGATGAACTGCATGAAACAGAAAATGGAAAGATTTAAGCACGTGTAGCATACAGATACATATACACGTATACATCATAATAATTTATAAATTTTACAAATGAGTACACTGGTACCAACAATTACGTACCTATTTGCAGTATGAACGATATCGTGCAGCACATGATGCCGTGAGAAATTTAATTTTTGAAAGTTTGCCGAAAAAGTTGTGAAAACGAATGAATTTCACAGCTGCCCATCTCTGGGACGGCTCTTTAGTCGAAATCGTTGAATCGTGCTACCGCCTTGTTAATTGACCCCGCCAATTACGCGAAGGATAATTGTTCAATTATCGTCCTTTACTTGATCCGAATGTCATGCAGGCAGGGGCTGCAGGTTGCCTTTCACCTTTTTCATTGCGTATCGAGATCGGGTTGTGATCCTTTGATACGGTACAGATAACAATTTCATAATGGATGCTCCGGATGGTAGAGCTAGAAGGAAAGTCAAAGGATGATACCGTTCACTATTCAGACCGCCGACGGATAAAATATCACGTGTACTATTTATCAGTGTTTGATAAATCAGTGTAGATAAACTTACTGGGTGGTGTAGATTAGCCTTGCACCTGTTTCAGGCTCATCTCTTATACAGCAGGTATACCCGGATCAGCCACCTACGCTACATTTGTACTTTTTTATCTCCTAGTTCTGCCGTCCGATTATGAGACAGCGGAAGGAATCACCAAACTGCTGGTTCTTAGGTTTCCTCTAATCGTTATCTGGTATCAGGAATATATTATGTAAATAAAATTGTAGATACCATACGAGTATTGTAGCTCTAAAGTTAATTCGAATATATAGTCAAACAAAAATGACAATACCCTATGAGAATAGAAATATCAGATTTAGCTACCTGTGTCTACCTGAATCCTTCAGGTTTCGGGTCACCGAATTTTTTCTAATCCAGGTTACCGCGTCTCTGCAAGAAGAAGACAGGTTAGACAAGACAAGGACAATAATCTCTTTACCGGATACGTATATACCTGTATGTAGTATACCTCCTTCCCGGAAGTCTCCAGGAGTTGTCGGAAGGAGTAGCGACGGGTCTCATTAACGATAAATCGATTATGACATACACGCATCGTGATGCTGTGATCGATGATCGTCGATCTGCGATCTTCGTTCGTGATCTGATCGAGAGGAGAGAAGAGATGCGGGCTACGTACTCGCGCGAACGTAGGAACGAGCACATGTCGTGCAGGTGGCCTTTTCCACAGCCACCTGTACCGCGTTCTTTGCTCATCCGTGTTTTCCCGTCTTCGAAACCGCCGCCGTCGCTGCGTCAGCATCCTGAATGACGAGAGAGTTCACCAAACTTGGTAAATCTTGTGCATCTTGATAATCTTCCTATCCTCATCTAATAGACATCATCTTGTATTGTAACGCGTAGAAGTATATACACCACGTCAGGATAATTACTCTGGCATTTACTATCTAAACAGAAATAATATTAGGCGTATCAATTTTTAAGATAATTCTCATTGACGATCATTCTACGACATAGTATTGACTTGCCAGCTATGAGATATTATTGACAGACCTAAGTTTCTCCAGACCAAAAGGAGGTCTTCACTGAATAGAAGATTTCTCAGTGGGATTGCATTATAGGAATGATAACGAGGGCCATAATGAGTGGCATTCAGACTAGCGATTGTTTGCTTTGGCATTGTCGAGTTTTCATTTGGAAATGAACCAGGCAAATAAAAGTATAACCGTATGAGAGGTTAGAAATACCTTTTTCTTTTTTTTGTATAGAAAGATATATCATGTATTATCCAACTCGACGATCCTAACCCGGATCTTCCTGTGTATATAATCCACAGTTGTACAAACGGTTTATAAGTCAGTCAAATAATTGTCTCCCTCATTTACACTTTTGAAAGTGCACTGTATAACGTCAGAGTACAAAAATAAATAACAGATGATGTGTAGTCCAAGTTTCTAGTAATTTCATAGGGCAATCAATGCGTCAAACCAAGAAGAAACCAAGTAACACAGTCAATTAAAGATGCTCCACATGTGTTGCACAAAAGATTCTCCTTTAATTCTTCTAACTTTACGTCACGTTTCCTTATTGTATCACGTATCTCAGTCCTATCGGTAACTGGTCACAGGAGGATTTGAACTGTAAAAAAAATATATGCATATGAACAAGTGACATTTTGAATTGTGAGAGTCATGTGTGCAATCGAAATTACAGTCAGGACAGTAACGTACATTTAATGACTATACAAGCCTATTGGGTTCCTGGCAAATGTATTCCTTTTAGTGGCACCCATGCAAAGGATGAGAATCCTTAATGTCCGTGTAAATCCACTATGGGCAATTATGTAATCTAATGCAAGTGGGGTAGCCACATTGGCACGTGCTTCCAGCTACTTTACTCGCTCTGGCACCTTCTTGCGGAAATCCAATGC